ACACACACACACACACACACACACACACAGTGCCTTGTCTTAGAACCATTGGGGGGTTTGCGGTGGGAGGTGCTTGTGCTGTGATGTGTATTGTAACTGTCATGTCAATAAACAGCTGCGAGGAAGCTGCTCTTTGAAAGATTTGGGCTAGAGACAGGTGAGGAGCATTGCTCCACTGCCTGGTTCTGACCAAGGCTTCCCTCGTTAGCGAGTTAAAGAGCGGTTGAAGATGTTCTGTCTTGGTTTCGTTCTTCATGAGGAATAAGTCTCTAAACTAGCGGGGCCTGTTCAATAAATCCAATCCATCCTCTTCCACTTATCTTTATCAGGGTCAGTGAGGGATTGTGATTTGCTGCTATATAAATATAGCAATATATAAGACAAAATCAACTCACAAGATAGAGGAAACAGAGCTGAACATGGAACACACAGGGCAGCACACTGTGAGACTAAAACAAGAAACACATTAAACACACTAAGACTGTGGCTGACTACAGGGAACAGAGGGAGGAGAGGGAGGGCGACAGATTTCACAGGCGAGCACTGAGGGAAGGACACAGAGACGAGAGCTAATAACAAACAGCCTCAACTAGAAATACAGATCAACTCAACTAGATAACATAACAGTCACGATTAAACAAGACTCAAAAACCCATCAACACAAAACACTGGGTCAACGATCCAGGCACCCTAACAAAGGCTTTTAGGATGTGCTGATAATAACAAATTACAGTCAGTCCAAATGTGAACATTGACATCCAAGAATGTCCTTTATTGGTTAGATACAGAGTTGTACTGTCTGCATTTTAGACCAAGAAGACAGATGGACTGAAGGAGGAATCCTCCTTTGTCCAGTCTGCCGGGGCAAACTGTGTGAAGTGTGAAGAGTGGACCCAGGTGAGGTCATACCACAACTCAACTTTAACTGAAGATGAGCTTTTTATTGAGGCAGGAAAAGGTACAAAAATAAAATGGTGAACAAAATGCAAAACTAAACAATGTCCTAAACTGGGTAAACTAGAAAGGAAACATGAACCATGAAAAACCCCGGTGAATAGAAAAACAGACAAGAAAAGCTCTAAACATTGCAATGTGGTATGGAAGCATGAGTGGCCTGGAAAAACTGCAGACGATCAGACAAGGAAAGCCTGAAAGCACACGGACTAAATACACACAGGAAGATAATGAGGGAACACATGGGGAAACAGCTGACACAGATGCACATACCGACGTTACAGGAGAAACATAAAACTAAACACATCGAACACAGGAACACAGGACCTCTTCAAAATAAAACAGGAAACATAATGAGACGCAGACACGACAACATGAACTTGACAACACAAGACATGCAGACATGAAACACATAAAGGACAAAGGAGATCCCTTCCCAGGTGCCTCAACCCCCACTCACATCTTGCATCTGATGACCTCGATAGCTCATAATGGTTTGACCTGAAACATCTGGTAATAGTGGTTCAGTGACCCATTAAAGGACAGTCTCAAGTAGGGTTTAAATATCTGAGCTGTCAGATGTGTCTATCCCCTCCAGCACACACAGAGGTATATAGTGCCACAGCTTCACAGTTTCGATCGCCTCAGGTCTTTGTCCAGAGCTTGCATGGGTTCAGCGTTCTGGGAGCTGAGGAAGGTGTGGTCCTGGTTCAGGTAGGTAGTGATGAAGTCTGGAAAATGTCTCTTTGCGATCACCTCCTGGAACATGTTTGCTGCTGTGTGTAACCTCTGTCTGAAAAAGAAAGATAAAATCCTGAAAATAGCTTATTCAGACTGCCCTCTGGCAGAAATGTTGCAGCTATCTTGCAATGATAAATGGTAAATGGGTTGGTTTTTATATAGTGCTTTGCTGCTCAGAGCACACAACTTGCATCAAACACTCACTCACAGATTCAGACATTTTCAATGCACTTGTATAAGTGTTTTCTGTCTATAATTGACACACATCCATATTCTGGTGGATGCATCGGAGAGCAACTTGGTGTTAGCGTCCTGTGCGAGGATATTTGGCATGCAGATGGGGAACGAACCACCAACCTGCTAGGTGACCTGCTCTGCCGCCCTATTTTATCAGAGCGAGAAAAGAAAAAGAAAACATCATCTTACATATGCTATAACATGCACGTTTAGGAAAACCAAAACCTGCAGGTTTTAGATCTCACCCTGGGTCAACACACCTGAATCAGATGATTAGTTCATTACCAGGCCTCTGGAGAACTTCAAGACATGTTGAGGAGGTCATTTAGCCATTTAAATCAGCTGTGTTGGATCAAGGACACATCTAAAACCTGCAGGACTCCGGCCCTCGAGGCCTGGAGTTGCCCACCCCTGGTCTAGTGCATCCTATGCTAAGGGAGGCAATAAGCACTGAAGCTCCTTTCCTTAGTATTTGGAGAATTGGAACTTTAATCATGGTCGCCACACAGATACTTTCAGGTCGTGTCTCTCAGTTAAGAACCTTCCTAAGCCAAATGGACTATTGAAACTGTTTCCATGAAAGGGTGTACGTGGTCTACAACAATGCTTAGGAAGGTGGTATGTGTCAAAGTAACTGTAAAAAAACAAAACAAAAACAAAACAAAAACTAAAAGGTGTGTTTGCATCATAAGCAAATTAAGGATGTTCAGAAATTATAGGTGTCATGGATGTGGTGTTTCAGTGAAAACTCTAAAAGGTTATACATGCATCATGAATTTGAAAATTAACCAATGGGGCTGCTGTCAGTGCTTATACAGCTGGTGCACAGCTCAACTGACCCATCGAGTTTTGTCGTGCAAAAGCTGTTGCACAATAAAATGCACAATCAATACACTGAAAAATAGTTGCATGTTTAATCAGCTGGGAATTTACCCAAATTTATTTATTTAGACAGATGTTTGAACATATTAAATATAATTACATAGATACTAATATATTACTATATATATATATATATATATATATATATATATATATATATATATATATATAACACCCAGCACGCCCCTACGGGCGGTTTATCCTTCAAGCTCGGGTCCTCTACCAGAGGCCTGGGAGCTTGAGGGTCCTGCGCAGTATCTTAGCTGTTCCCAGGACTGCGCTCTTCTGGACAGAGATCTCCGATGTTATTCCCGGGATCTGCTGGAGCCACTCGCCTAGCTTGGGAGTCACCGCACCTAGTGCTCCGATTACCACGGGGACCACCGTTACCTTCACCCTCCACATCCTCTCGAGCTCTTCTCTGAGCCCTTGGTATTTCTCCAGCTTCTCGTGTTCCTTCTTCCTGATATTGCTGTCATTCGGAACCGCTACATCGATCACTACGGCCGTCTTCTTCTGTTTGTCTACCACCACTATGTCCGGTTGGTTAGCCACCACCATTTTGTCCGTCTGTATCTGGAAGTCCCACAGGATCTTAGCTCGGTCATTCTCCACCACCCTTGGGGGCATCTCCCATTTTGACCTCGGGACTTCCAGGTTATACTCGGCACAGATGTTCCTGTACACTATGCCGGCCACTTGGTTATGGCGTTCCATGTATGCCTTGCCTGCTAGCATCTTGCACCCTGCTGTTATGTGCTGGATTGTCTCTGGGGCATCTTTACACAGCCTGCACCTGGGGTCTTGCCTGGTGTGATAGACCCCAGCCTCTATGGATCTTGTGCTCAGAGCTTGTTCTTGTGCTGCCATGATTAGTGCCTCTGTGCTGTCTTTCAGTCCAGCTTTGTCCAGCCACTGGTAGGATTTCTGGATATCAGCCACCTCCGCACTCAACGATCCTTCTCCTATCGCACTTGGAGCTCGGTACCCAATCTCGGGTGGAGGTGATGATATCTCCCTCCTGACCTGGCGTCCTACCGCAGACATGAGCGAGACAGATAAATATGAAGGCATGCCGGCTCGGACGTCGCCCGGATCAACAAGGTCCGCGTCAGGTGTTGAGGAACCAGGGCACCCTGACGAAAAGTGGGCTACTGGAACAAGAAGGCATCGGTGGGCAAGAGATGAAAACAGGGCGTTGTTGGAATGCTACTACGCAAGTAACCCCGGCGGAAGGGGCTACATGAATAGGATGACGGACCTATGGATTCTTCGATACCCAACATCCACAATGACGGCGAAACAACTAGTAGCTCAGTGTTCCAACATTCGAAAGAAGGGACTGCTCTCACAGCTAGAGATTGACGAGGTACAACACAAATGCTACGGCAAGGAGGAGTCAGGACGCCAGGTCAGGGGGGAGATATCATCACCCCCACCCGAGATTGGGTACATAGCCCCAAGTGCGATAGGAGAAGGATCGTTGAGTGCGAGAGGAACTGACCTGAAAAATAGGATCATGGCCAAGCTTGAAACCTGGATCCCCCGTAGCCGGTTACCAAGATTACGTGAAGTACCCTCAGAAGGTCTGCTAGATGATGTTAATGCAGCACTACGGACAATACCTACAACCACGATTACCGACACTAACAAGCTGATCTACAATACGGCAGCAGTGATCAGTGAGATGCTTGGCTACAAGTTGAACAGCCACAAGGGGCAGTACCCTCCATGGAGAAGGAGGCTAGAGGGCAAGATCAAAGTAGCACGGAGGGAGGTTAGCCAACTAACGGAGTTGCAGAAAGGTGCGACAAAGAAGGTGCCTAAGAAATACAGCAAGCTGTCCATACCTGAGGCCTTGGAAACTTGAGGAGGTACACCAGAGAGATAGAAGGCAGGAGAATAAACCAGCTGTTCTCCACAGAACCAGCAAAGGTGTACTCTCAGTGGCAAGGGAACAATAAGAGAACAGCACCACCAAGGCTGGAGACGGAGCAATACTGGAAGAGCATATGGGAGAAGGACGCAACCCATAACGGCAATGCTCAGTGGCTAGTGGATCTGAGGGCAGACCACAGCGACCTCCCTGAACAGGGTCCAGGTAACTTTGAGCCCCCCCCCCTCCCCCTCAAACATCTCTGCACAGCCCTGACCAACACTCTTGAAAAAACTGCATATTTGTTGATTATGGCTCAACAAAAATTATTTGATGACAGAAAAAAGAAATCATGCGACTAAGACAAACTCGGGTTTCATTAAATCTTTCTGCAGTAAAAGAAGCAATAGAAAGGTATCCCAAAAGAATCTGTCACTTTTCCATTTTTTCCACATTTTCTGTGAAATTTAAAAGCATTAGTAGCATAATTTGACAAATCTTCTCCATGCTGAGATTATGGTGAAAACTCTCATTTAATCAAAAAGTTGGTGCAAATATCCTGGGACACAGGATTCATCAGTCAATTAAAAATTAATTATTATTTACATTAAGAAGGCATTAAACATATATATTGTATTCTTCAATGAAGGATGTCACTGGAACCACTCGCCTACCATAACCTCTTCAAAGAGGGTGCATTTGCTTACCTAACAGAGCCACAGTGGGGACTGAGGTCCATGATGAGCTCCTTGATGAGGTCAGTCACCAGCTGCCTGCTCACCACCCTGCCATCGTCCTCCAGCCGGGTCTGATGACGGACCCACTGCCACACCTGACAAAGACACAAAGCAAAACATGTTCTTATGATCTATGATCACGGCTTATGTTAAGTTGGCTCCTCCCATTAAATGGTAAATGGCCTGCATTTGTATAGCGCTTTATTAGTCCCTAAGGACCCCAAAGCGCTTTACACATCCACACATTCACACCCTGGTGATGGCAGCTGCCCTGGGCGCACTGACAGAGTGTGTGGAGGTGCACGCAGTTTCCCCTCTTCCATGGTGTGAACGAGTGCATGTCTATGTGTATGCTGTGACACAGGTGGAGACTGCGGATTAGCTTCCACTTCTATTGGGTGGAAGTTGGTAGATGTGGATTGCATGATTGGATGGACAGCGGTCTGTTAACCTCCAGCTGACAGCCACTTTGCATCTCTGCACCCAACAGTTAAATAAGCAGCAGTTAAATAATGTTTGTAAATACGTATCCACAGTACATACAGAACAGCTGGCAGCAGATTAGTAGCAGTGAGAAGTGTTATTGGTTGAAATTTCTTTTCTTGGTTATTGCTTATGGACCTTGAAGATTTGTTATTCAAGTCTTTGTTGTTTTGGCATTGCTCACCTCTGAAGCAAACACACTGCTGTCTGGCATCCTGAATTTTTCTGCATTGCTGTCCTTTACTTGAGAGTGGGGAGTTACATTTCATAGTAGGACTAGGTTACCCCTAGCCCAGGGGACACTAGAGTAGATGGAGTTTAAGTTTGATAGGAAGATAATCTTACACACTTAACAAACTTCATGTGCCTGTATCCTTAAATGTCAAGAATAAAATAACTGAAGGAGCTCTGTGCACAAAGCTGGATGAAAGGTGTTGTTTGGTAAGCAAGCTCCTGTAGAGGGAATTCAACTGGGTGCTGTTGCTGGTAATCTTGCCCCACTGCCTAAATCTCCGTCCTCAAACAGGTACATCTACAGTGGAGCCACAGCTGTGTGCATAAAGGAGGTGGAGTTAACAGGAGTAGTTTGAGGTCAAAGGCATTCATGTGTAAGAGATGAAGATGGAGCAGCTGTATGTGACGGTCTTTCCACCTCTCAATCAGCCCTTCTAAAAACTGGCCAAAGAACATTTGCTCTTTAAAACAACTAATGAGTGCCAGAATCTTACAGGCTGAAATTTGAGAAAAACTTCCACCCAGACCTGAGTGCCCAGTTATTCAAATACGGTGAAATCAGTGAACGGTGAGTGTGAAGACTGTGGAGTGATTTGTGGTCCAGAATGTGTTTTGCTTTACTCAATATTGAAATGCTTCTTGAAACTTTGTTCTGTACACGTTTTATATGAGATTTCCAGCTTATTTTGTATCCAGTATTACACCAAGACCCTTATGTTCATGAAGTCTTTCAGTTTCCACACAATCTAGATCAATCTGCACTTTGACTTTAATTGAGGATTTACAAATAACATCATTTTGGTTTTACATAGTTTGTTCCTGTCAAACTATACCCAGCAGTTCCATTAGATTACCCCAGAACAAAACTATTTGTGTCATCTGAAAATAAAACCAGTTTTAATATATCAGATACTTTACAAATGTATTTTTATAAATAAGAAATAGTTTGGGGCCCAGTACAGAACCCTGGGGAACACCAGAACAATGTCCAGCACAACAGAGCCAGCAGTGCACGGGCAGGAATGCATTTCTTACTTGGAAATTCCAACACACTTCACATTTAAAGAAGAAAGGGATGAAATCTGACCGTGCAATGCAAACTCTGTTTGCCAGCAACCAAGCTGCTCTCAGCGTCAAAAGACTCCAACCTGAAGAAACATCTGGAAGTACGTTCTTTTTAAAAAAAAAACTAACATTAGCCTACTGCAGCTAGCTTGTTTTAGTTGTGGTAACTACCTGGGTTACGTGCCACTTCAGTATCTTGGATGTACTACTGCTGTGTGATTTATTACTATTAATGAAGGCAGCATTACAACCTGCTAGCTGCAAATAATCATGTGCAGTTCTGGAAGCAGACAGAAAGAAAACATATTACTGATACAGAAACAGTTTTCTGTATGAGATCGCTGCAAAAAGTGCAGCCTTACCTAATGTCCACCTACTGTTACTCCATCAAGTCTAACAGTCTGCAGTCGATGAACGAACCTCAGCTAACAATGTTAGCTTGGTTGCAGGTAGCCTTCAGTAACAGTAATAAATCACACAGCAATAGTACATTCATGTAGCTGTAAAAGGCATGACAATATATCAAGTAATCCAAAGTATTCAGAACACGTTACTCACATTAAGTAACTTCATGGAATATGTTACAAACTACTTTTTTACAAGTAACCTTCCCAACACTGACTGTACATGAAGTAATTAACCCACAAGCAAAACCTGTTCAGTGATACTTTAAAAAAAATGCCGCTAAAAGGAGAAAGAAGCATGCCACATGACACTGAATGAAAAACAAAAACAAACAAACAAACAAATTACAGGGTGCATCTTAGTCACTGTGTTAAATATGTATCTATTGGAGCAAATTTTAAAAAGAAATGTGCTTGTTTCCCAAACAACATTGTCAAAAACATTTAAATATATCCTAAATACTAATTACTTGTGGGTGTAGATCAAGCTCTACATGAATCTCAGCAACATATGCTCTGTGGTGCTTGCTTTGAAAACTCACCTGCGATCTAGAAATTTCTGCTGTGGCAGAATCTTCAACCTGGCCTTTGTAGAAGAAGTGGCCTTTACCTTAGAAACACAAAATGGTATCAACACATACAGGTATATAGCATTTAGTGCATTAAGCATTTTTCCATGGATAATATAAAAGTACAAACCTGATAGCCAAGCATTAATAAAGAGCACACCAACTGCAATGTTATACTTCAAACCATTAAGCGTGACTCCTCCCTACGAAGAATACAGCACACCAAAACTTTTTATATATTATATTATATATATAATTATAATTAAATATCTTTAGGAAAAGAACACAATGTTTGATTCATCATCTAAAATAAATGAGGCAAAGCGGTTATTCTGTGGACAGAAAACTATATCGTATGCATCTGGTATAGAGGATGTTTTCACTCATGCCTAACATCATCTAGATGTGAAAGCCTCCCTCTTCCTGTTTGATGAAGTTTTCCTACCCACACTAAAATCTGATGTATTTCAATCAATTAAATGTAATGCTAACTGTAATATTACTGTTAAAAGTTTATTGAGGTGTGTTCTGCAGTTCACTAAGAGCAACCACTAACTGAAGGCATGGATAGCAAGTCTTCAGGAAATACAGTCACGTCATTTCGGAGCTGGTCAAGCTGGTTATCTCCTTCGGTGTGGACCTTGAAGAGCTGGAAAAGATGAAGAATTGCCACACACTTTCACATATGCCAATCACTGTAACTTTATGTGCATATAAAGCTTTATATGTGTCAGCGCTCACTTTCTGCATGGGCTCAACCAAATTTAGGTCATATACCATGAAACCATCCACACCTGCAGTAATCTCTAATAACTTCAACCTGAAAGGTGGAAAAACACAACTGGATCAGCGGACATCACTGAATATGTATTCAGATTGTATGTATTGTCATATTTTCATATGCTATACCCTGTGGGGGAAAACAATAATGAACATTTCTTGAGTTTAATAAAATGCATATATACCAAATACAGACGTTATACACACACACTTATCCACGCACACTGACACACAAACACACACTGTAAAATGTAAATAAAAATAAAATGCTATTTGCTAATCTCAGAAACCCATATTTTAGTCACAGGCTAACTGGCAACATGTCAGTAACATGGCACGTACTGGAGAAGTAAAGAAGTAAAGATGGGGGTAGGTTCACCAATCTATAAAAAAACACCATCTACAAATTCTGGAACAATTTCAGAATCCCAGGAAGTTGATTCTGTTCATCTGGAAGTATTATTTTCTGTGGGAGAAACATCTGTCACGCATCCAGGGGACTTTTACAATTTCAGTTGATGCATGCTCAATTATCCAGGTAAGGAAATCACAAAGTGGGCTCTGCTCATTGGGATATGAAATGACTGGGATTTTAATCCACTGGGGATTAAAATGGGATCGACTTCCTGAGATTTCCTTACTTGAGTGGTTGAGTTTGCATCAAGGTGATTTCAGAAGGTTGTGAGGACTTGAAGACGTTAACTACAGTACATAATCAAAGGAGAAGTCGAGGTCTGGATCCTGTCAGGGTCTGGAACGGGTCGGGGGGATTTTTCTGGCTGTTCCTTCCTGCCAGCCTGTGTCTAGCTGTGTATTTGACCAGTATATGTTGACTGGTATTTTTAATGTGTCTTAGTGTTTCCTGTTTGTTTGACAGTGTCACATCCTATGTTCAGTGTGTTCAGTTTTCCTCCTCTCTTGCCATTATGTGTATTTGCCTCAGCTGTGTTCCCCATATGTTTCTTCTTCCTCCTCCCTCATCACCCTCTTGTGTATTTATGTTGTATGTTTATCCCAAAAGGTTGATTCTGTTCATCTGGACGTTTTCAGTGGGAGAAGTGTTTCATCACTCATCCAGGTGACGTCTTCAGTCTCAGCTGACTGCAGGTTTCAATCTTATAAACAGTACTTTTGCACAATGACTGAAACCAGCCCACTGAAGGAACGATGGGTCATTAATATGCAAATTGGCATGCCCATCGATGAACAACCACTGATCAAAGCCTTGCCAGCTGGAGAATCAGCCGAGCCTGTCCAGCCACCTGCAGCCTTCATGCCACCACCTGCTGCAGAGGTCAAGGCAGGCGGTCCCTCGCTGCCTGAGCATGAGGGACACCCATCACCGGAGCCTGTTGCAAGTCCTGTGCAGGCCTGACCAGAGAAACCAGAGCTGGATGGGTGAACCCCCTGAGAAGGTTCGTCACCTCTGCCGGGCCCCTGTGAAGTACCGTTGGCCACGTGGTCGACCACCAACCATGACACTGCCACTGACAGCTACTTCTCTGTCTATTTACGCCCTGTGTTTTCCACTTCCCACACCCATGTGCTGTGAGTTTCTCCATGTTTCTGGTTTCCCCTCACGACTCCCTGTTCCAAGTTTTAGCTTTTAGTTTCTAGTTTGTTTTTCATCCCTCTGCATCCTGCCTGCCACAGCACCAAGCATGACAGACCCAACCCTGCTGACATCTACTGAAAGAAATCCACAGAGGCTCAGAGTGTCAGAACTACATACAGGGTTAAAAGTATTCATAGATTTCCATTAATATTTGTTTAAATGTGCTTTAGCAAGTTGTACTTCAACAGAAGCTTTTGGCAGCCATCCACAAGCTTCTGGTGTATTTCTAGCTTCATATTTGACTAATAAGCATAGTTCATAAATTTTCAATGAGGCCTAGGTGGGTGCATTGGGAAGGCCATTCCACAAGCTTAATGTTAGCCTGCTTTGTCCGTTCCCATCACAGTTCTGATGTGTAGATGAGTAAGTTGTTCTATTGGACCACCTGGTTATTTCCAGGTTTTGACTGTCAGCTGTTGGATTAAGGTGAAATGGAAGAATTCAGAGTGAAAACTGTTTTATTCATTATTCTATCCACTGTGCACCAGTACCACTGTCAGCAAAACAGTCTCAGAGCATGACTGTACTGCCACTATACTTGGCAGCTGGTGCAGTATTCTTAGGTTTGAAAGCTAAACTTAATCCTAGTGAAGCTAACCCACTTCTTCTTCTCCTCATTGTGGCTAAAAGAGCAACATTTTCTTGTCTGACCATAATATGGTTCACCAGAAGCCATTTGGCTTTTCCATGTGGATAGCTGCAAATTTCAGCTGACTTGAAGCAGCCGGTTTTGGAGCAGAGGCTTCTTTCTTGGTCGACACCTTTTCAGTCCATGTTGGTGTAGAACTTTCTTCACTGTGTTTCAGTGACACTGGTGTTTCAGTTCTAGGTAAGCTTGGTGGTTCCTGGGTTGTTCCTGAACATCCTAACACATTTTCTCTCATGTAAGGATGGCAGTTTGGGTCTTCTTTCAGACCTTGGCAACGTGGGGACACACCCCAAAAATGTATTTTTATGTACAATTGTTTCAATTGATGATCCTGGAATCTGCAGTTTTGGAAATGGACTGTACACTTCTGGATTGGCCTTCCCAAAGCCCCAACTTCAACACTACTGAAAATGTGTAGACTACGCTTATCCTTATGAACCAGGAAACCAAATCATTTAAACTCTACCAATTCTGCCAAGGAGAATGGTCAGGTATCTAGCAAAAACAATGCCAGGAGCTTGTTGATGGCTAAAAAAAAAGCATCTAGTCAAGGAGTAATTTGTCATTGCTAATCAAATATTAGTGGGGGTGCATATAGTTTTGATGCTTTATGTATACTTTTGACGCTGTGTGGATCAAACAAATTTAAATATTAGACAAAGATAACACGCAAGAACTATGTGTTTATTTTTAAGGGGATAAGTCCAAACCTACATGTCCCTGTGTGAATAGGTATATAAAGGCTCCGAACCGTAGTAAAGGGACCTCTGGCTAATACGTCGGGTTTGTGTCGGGCTTATAGCCGAAAACTAGCTTTACTTTGTTGTCTGGGTCAAGTTTTAGACAGAGGCATTGAAAGGCTGCTCCAATGGAGCTTATTGTTTCAGAGGAAAACACGAACACAGCGTACAGCCGAGTCTTAACAGCTTACTTACAGCTGGGCTCGTCAGGCTCTTTTCTTGGCTGCAGTGGTTATTATTATATTTACATGCTTCCAGCTCCCGTTTCTGCTCAGTGACAGCTCGTACTCCCTCGCTCACAGACACATAATGGGTATGGCCGTCCATTCTCCCTGCAGCACGGACTACACTGCCCATCAGGCTGCATGCTTTGCCTATTGCCTTCATATTAACCCATTCACTGCCAGCCATTGGCAGTGAATGGGTTAAACCCATTGACTCATTCACTGCCATTGACGGCTATAGACGTCAATGGCAGTGAATGAGTTAAATCATTTTTGTGAATAATTTTTTAAAATATTTCTTCACATCATTATGCTGCTGCAAGCAGTGGTGACATGGGCGGCGAGATTGAGACACAGACATTAGAGCCTCTTAATGCCTGTTTTGTTTGGGTTTCCACCAGCGTGGAACTGAAAATAGAGAGGGCAAAGCCGAACATATGAAACAGGAAAAGACCGCCGTGTAATCCCTTTATTTCAGCAAAGTAACTGTATTCTGAATACCACCTTTTTAAACGGTAACTGTAACAGAATACAGTTACTCATAGTTTGTATTCTAACTACGTAACGGTGGTACATGTATTCTGCTACTCCCCAACACCGGCTATGAGTCTTCCATAGCGCATTGGAGGAATTCTGGCCCACTCGTCTTCATAAGATTGTTGTATTTCAGCCACATTCGAGGGTTTTCAAGCATGAACCACCTGATTAAGGTCATATAACCTAAGCATATCAATTGGATTCAGGTCAGGACTTTGACTAGGCCACACCAAAGTCTTTATTTTGTTTTCCTTGAGCCATTCAGAGGTGGACCATTCTCTTGCTGCAGGACCAACTGCACTTTAAGTTGAAGTCACAAACAGATGGCCGGGAATTCTCCATCAGGATGTTTTGGTAGACAGCAGAATTCATGGCTCCATTTACCACAGCAAGCCACAGCCCCAGACCATCATACTACCACCACCACCATATTTTACTGTTGCTATGGTGTTCCTTTTCCTAAATGCTCTGTTACAGTTACGCCAGATGTCACGGGACACGCAACTACCAAAAAGCTAACTTTTGTCTCGTCAGTCCACAGAGTATGTTCCCAGACGTCCCAGAAGTCTTGGGGATCATCAGAATGTTTCCAGAGCTGAGACGAGCCTTTATGTTCCTTTTGCTCAGCTGTGGTCTTCGTCTTAGAAATCTGCCATGCAGGCCAGTTTTGCTCTTTCTTATGGTGGAGTCATGAACAGTGACCTTAGCTGGGGCAAGTCTTCTGTACAACACAGGGGGGAATTGTTTTTTTTTACACAGGGCCATGTAGGATTGATTTTTTCCCCTAAATAATAAACACGTTTATTTAGAAACTGAAAAACACTTTTTCACATACAGTCTATGTACAAGCCTGCATGTTCAGGCTGTGAGCATGCATGTATCTAATGGGAGATATTTCTACCTTGTGACAGAAGCCAACACTCTCCTGTAGGTGTCACTGAGTGGGTCTTCAGGCAGCAGCAGGGCAGCCATGCCTCCAGTGGCCAGTGCTCCTCGCCGATGACATGTCTTAACCAACAGATCCATGTAGCTGTGCAGAAAATGCTTCTCCATGTTCACGTATTTATGGCGGTCAGGCAACAGGAAGGCTGGTCGATGACCTGGAGAACGTCTTCAATTCAGTTTGACTTTTTGATCATGTCCTTTGTTGTACACTTTATGTACTGTGAAAAGTTGCTGGACTGTTAAGAGTTACTAAAGTTTCCACTAGGCTGCGGTTTAACTCTTAAGTCCCAGGAATATTGACTAAAAGGAAATCTAAAATATTATTTTGTAGTCAGATTTAGATTGGAAACATAATATCACGATTATTATATTATCTGAAGTACTATGGCTTTAATATCAATATGGAAATCAGCTGAATTTCAGTAGAAGATCTGTGGTTTCACAAGAATTGGTGCAGAAATGAAGGAAAAAACCTAAAATGACAGGGGTGTGGTCTCTAGCTCTGCTGCAGTGGAGGGGTGGTGCAGGGGACCTGTGACGAGAGACTTTGGAATATGGAGTCAGCTGCAAAGCTGACTGTCTGGAAAAGTCCTCGTGCCAAACCACAAAGAAACATTTCTGTGTGTCCAGACTTTTCACAGTCCGACCCTCAGGCCACGCCGCCCGCGCAGCCGATTTAGTTGCTGGCCCAGATGCTGGCAGAGATAGTGGCCATGCAACGCGAGCAGGCAGCTGCCCAGAAGCATCAGCTGGACAAGCTGCGGAAAAAGGCTGACGGGCAGATGCAGGTGCTGGAGCGGATGGTCAGGGTGACCCCGTTGCTGCCCCCTTGCTCTGGAGGTGACTGTGCACTGGATGGGGAAAGGTGATGACCCACAGGTTTTCCTGAAGGCATTCTGGGCCACAGGGGAGGTGTGCCAGTGGCCTGCAGCAGAGTGGTGCACCGCGGCTGCTGCCGCTGTTGTCAGGGGAGGACCAGACGGCACCGCCTGCCACCAGCCTCACGAGGTAACTTCTGGGACATCTGTCCGGCTGTGCTGGATCGCCTGGAAGATCATTGCTGGTGGTTCTGGGCCAGCCAGATGAAGGGGGAGGACTGGCCATTCACGTGGGCCTGGAAATTGCATGATGTGATGAGGTGGCTGCAGCCTGAGCCATCAGAGGGTGAGGCCCATGTGTTGGCAAAGGTGGTCTTCGAGCAGTTCGTGGAGAGGCTGCCCGGTTCCACTGCCATTGGTCAGCGAGCCTGGAGGCTGCGCTCACCCTGGCTGTCCACCTGGCAGCCATGGCAGAAGGAGCAGAGTGGGGCAGCCAGCCGGTCGGCTGGCAGAGTGGGAAAGAACGAGTTTCACAGCCACCCAGCGCACGGCTGCCAAACCCGTTCTTTCCCACTCCCACATCCAGCCCCGAATGTCAGTTGGTTAGCCAGCCGGCCATTGCAAAAACGCCTTTGCACTCACTGCGATTAAGGGCGATCCCATTTAAACGCTTAGGTATGGACTTAATCGGGCCATCACCAGAGTGCAAGTGGCTATCACTTTGTATTAGCTCTGGTGTATTATTAACGCGATATCCAGAAGCATTGCCACTGCACACCATTTCTGCAAAGAGTGTGCTGCAGGCACTGTTTCAGTTCATCTCCCGGGCCGGCATCCTGAAAGAGATACTGACTGACCAGCACACATCATTCATGTCTCACACACTAAAAGAGGTGTAAAAATTAGGGGGCATTAAATCTGTTCGGACCAGCGTCTACCATCCTCAGAGTGACGGGCTGGTGGAGCAGCTGAATAAGACTTAAAAGTCCATAAGTTCATTCACAAGGATGAATGCAATTGAGAGTGCTGGCTAGCCCCTCTGTTGTTTGCAGTGCTGGAGCTGCCCCAGGCATTTGGGCTACCACTTGTGAGGCATGCAGGTGCGCCCACAGGCGCAGGACATGGCCGCCATTGGATCCTGCCCCATCCCAAGACCAAAAAGGAGGTTAGGCGGTTCCCTCAGCCCTTTGACCGATGGGTCTAGGTTTGGCCGGATGCGGCCCCGGCCTCAGTGAGGCGGTGTGGTCTCTGGCTCTGCTGCCATGGAGGGGTGGTGCAGGGGGCTCAAGGGGCAGTGCAGGAAAGGCTGATGAGGCAGGTGTTGTGCTAACGAGGTCTCCTTCCTTTTAGTAACGCCAGGGACCTGAGACTAGAGACCTGAGAGTGTGGAGTCAGATGCAAAGCTGACTGCCTGTCAAAGACCTCGGTGCCAAACCACAAAGAAACATTTCTGTGTGTTAAATAAAAGAAACGGAAAACAGTCACCTGAACGCTGCGTGGGGTCCAGATTTTTCACAGACTACAATCTAGAATTTTCAACTCACCAAACTTATTGACAAAGGAGGCTGAGTAATCCCAGATGCCACAGTTGAGTCCTGCTGAATGCTCTTGCAGCTCATAGAGAATCTCCTCCATCTCAAAGGCTGCTAACACATTTTCAATCAGCACTGTGGCCTTGATGCTGCCCAGAGGAAGACCCAGCTAGACACATGTGAGACATGGATTCAGTCAGATACGTATATAGAAGCAGTCAACAATGCATCCAGTCCCTTTAGGCTCTAACTGTTGTGGGACTGTCCTGGCTAGCATGTCCCTGTAACACTGGGACAAGAACAGAAGGATCACGCTTTGGACAGTTTACACCAGGCTACTGGAGAGGAGAGTGCATTGGTTAGTCAAAGAGTTTGTTGCACTAACAGCCTGCGTTTTGAGATCTGATGTGTTTTCAGATTCAACATAATTCTATATACCTATATATAACTGTTATATATACTTGGTACACAGTTCCTGGGGTTCAGTAGATCCCAGGAATGACATGTGTCTGTCCAGAGAAGTCCCAGAAACACCGAAGATGCTGCACACGGCCTTCAGTTCACCTCGGCCTCTTGTAGAGGGCCTGAGGTTAAAGGATAAAGGAGCTTTTAGCTTTTCAGCTCCATCTTTTTTCTCTTTTGTTTGTCAGTCTTTATCAACCACTTCTTCCACATTAAACTCTCTTCTACAAGGTGCATGAGAGCACAGGGAAGGTAGGTGGCAGGCCGGTGTTAGGCTGCTGTCAGTGCTTGAAGGGCCAGTGCACAGCGGCTACAAGCCAGAAACACAAGACATAGTACAAAAACAAGTTTATACATAAAGACCAAAAACAGTGCAAACCTTCTGCTGTGTCCAAAGAAATATTTTGTTCCAGAGTCTGGCCTCCATGTAGCCCTCCACCTACAGAACAAAGGTAACAGTGCAAACCCAGATAAATGAAATCATCAGCATGTTTGAACATATGTAGGTTTGCACGTGTGTTACTTTGGACAGGTAGAAAAAGGGTCCACTCTTGTGTTCGAACAGTGCCTTTCCACAGTGAAACATGAGGAGCCCAAAGTCAAAGAGCGGGCCAGGAGCTTCTTTCCCCTCCACCTGACCACAGAAAAGCACACGTGTTGTTTTCCTCACCAGTCCTTTCATGTATATGATCCTTAGTGCCACTTCTGTTATTTCAGTGAATTTGTGCCCCTCATGTCTATGTATTCAGACCACATTTGATTGCTTCCAACAAAACAACCACTGTAACAAACTGATGAAAATTCAATACTACCATCATGTTGTGCTCCACCATATTCCACGCACGGGGACGCAGCATCAGCACGGGAGCCTGAGATACATGTGGAACATCTGCAGACGAAGGACGCCAGAGGAATAGCTTATGAGAAAACATGGTAAAAATAAAAACAGCTTTTTTAAAGGATTTTTCTACAGATTTACAAGTTAAAACTTCAATGTAAAAAAGTCAAAGGGTTACTCTCAGGAGCTCAGGGAATTCCAGCACAGTGAGAGGATGAAGGACACATTTCCTTGCTGCTAAATATTCCACATTCAAGTCTTATATCAAAGTAGGAGTGGACGAGAACAACAGAAACAAAGTGGTAGCCCGGGTAAAATTACAGAGCAGGGTCATGTGGCCCAGTGTGCAGAAGTCACCAACTTTCTGCAAAGACAGCAGCTACAGACCTCTAAACTTCACGTTCAGATTTGCTCCTTCTCACAAATGTGTTTTTGGAAGAACGGTAACATATTCCCATAAATATACTCCTAAACCTTCTAGAAGTTCTTCCCAAAAGAGGTGAAGCTGCACAGTGTAGAAAGATATCATATTAAACCCTATGGATTAAGCCTGGCTGTCACTCAAGCTCATATGTATGTGAAGGCGGACGAGTAAAGACAATATAATGTTCTTTCTTTTTACTAAGATTGTACGGACTGTGTCTCTCAGAGTAAACTGAAGATAAAGGTGAAGTAGAGCTCTTACTGGGAAACAGGTTATGCACTGCTTTAAAAACATTGTAAATGCCTTTGATCTGGTTGTAATACGTCGGGCAGTTTCCATCATCAAAGTCAACCTGCAGAAACCAAAAAGAGCTCTGTAAGAAAAAAAGTCAGCAATGACTCAGAAGAAACAACATTAATATAGAAATTTAGGTAACGATGTCAGACATGATTATAAAAAATCAATATTAAGAATTCGGTTTTTTTACCAACCCAGACTGCAGCTGGGAGGTGAACAGTGTTCAAACTGGTTGGCAGACATTCGATTAAACGGTCTAAGAGGAAACTAATCTAGCGAGGGTTTTGGTTCTGGTTCAGCTAACTCCTCCCCATTTTATTCACCTGTTTGAAACAACCAAATAAATAAATTTCACCAATGTAAATAATGTGTGACCAAAGAAGACCAAGGACTGTTGAGCAACTATGATCCTATACAGATGGTAAATTCTGTTGTTTTAAACGCTTCATGTTCTGTTGTCAGTAAAACAGGTTTATGAAATTAGCAAATCATTACATGCTGTTTGTATTTACAAGTCTGACCTTTTTTGGAATTGTGAGTTTAATAATGCTGAAACCAACACAAAACACACTGACATGAGCAAACCCAGTGTTAGCAGTGAACATTACACCTTTAGCTCTGCATTATTGCACCTGTGTAGCACCTGTATGCCTTGTGCTGGTGACAGAAGAGCTTTAATGAAGTGCTCAGTATCGCAGGGTGCCAAGTCTCCAATATCTACATGTCTCTTTTGGAGCCTTGAGGGGACGGGAAGGACCTTCCAGTCTGGGTCTCTCCTGATGTGTCTGGTGCTTTCCAGGAAGCTTGGCAGATCACCTGTGAGATCCAGCTGGGCCTTTTTAGACACTCTCAGCTGTAGAATCTGAAGAGAGAATCAGCCTGACTCAAACAAGTCCTTCGTTTATTCACAGAGGTTTTTTGGCTGTCCTACCTCGTCCACCTCCTCATCAAATGTGGAAATCAGCTCATGCAGGAAGTGGAGGGAGTCAGTGGTAAAAAGAGTTGCACATTCTTCTTCCAGGCCTAAAGGAGAAGGACACAGCTCCATACTGCACACTGGACAAAAAGATTTGTATTCAGCACCATTCGAAACGTCCCTGGGATCCCCCCCCCGCATAAAGAAAGGTGGTGTTGCCAGTTAAAATGCAGACCAGTAAACAGTCTGTTGTCTAGTCATTTAAGCAGCAAGAAAGGTTATTACTGCACAGATATATTTGTATCACTCAAAGGTAAAGATAACATGGCAGCCTGTGAAAACAATCTGTGACAGGAGCAAAGAATCCGTTTTGGCTTCGGTGTTGTCCTTTTCTCAGGACGCTTGTTTGTGGGGCTGAGAGTAACCGCTCCTTGTAACCCGCTGCATAAAGTCTTTGTGTACAGAACCAGATTAAATATTACTGAACATTTTTCAGTTTCCCAGCAACAGCTAGTTCAAGCACAGTGTGCTGATGCTACTAAGTACTTTTTGACAGAGTGCAGCTTAGTGACGTCAGAAGTGCAGCGTCTGCATATTTTCTGTAGAGGGACGCACTGCTTCATATGTGGGCTCCACAAGGTGGCACAGAAATGAAAGGTGACTGCAAGCAAGGTTTACGATGGCTTCTGTTGGCAGAGCACGAGGTTTAACCCTAATTACTTGGTGTTTGGTCAAAGGCATGAGGACCTTTAGCAGTGCTGCAGAATCAGGGGTCTCAGATGAACTACCTGTGAATTTCATAGATTATGTTAATGGTTTCTGGCACAAACTATGTGGCAGGCACTCAAAACAGAACCTGGAAAGGTTTCAGGTCAGGATGAAATATTTCAATGAAGCAGCAGTTTAATGATGGTGACCAGGTCCTGGCTTTGTTTTGCCAGTTGTAGGAACACTGTATGAGTCTCTGGGCCAAATCCTGTGAAACAGCAAACGTCAGAACAGAATGATCTCATATTTCTCCAGACCGCAGGAAGAAACGTTTGTCACGTTAATTTGTTGAGACCATATCATGTTTGTGCTTTATCTCTTGGTTCATCAGGCTCTGTAGACTCTCCTTCCTCAGCAACAGCTGCACCTTTGACTGCTTGGACAGCAGCACAGTCACAGTCACACATTTGTGTGGGGCAGGAGCACCAGGTGGATCTTTGCTGCACGGTCAGTTGAAGAATTCAAAAAACGTTTGATGAAAAGTAATGAAAGTAGCAGCCAGGTCCTCCTTATCAAATCCAGTTGATGAACGAATTATCGTTAAGTGTGACAACCTCTATAACATCAAAAAGAGTTACATCTGAGACTCGTTTAACATGCTATCAAAGTCCACGGCAGTACGACCAGAAAAAGACCAAACAGGGTTTGTCAACATTTCAGCTTGTAGCTCTGCAGCTGTTCATCATGTTCATTATTCACTTGGATTTTATTTAGAGAAAGATAAGATAAGATAAGATAAGATGAGACCATCACCAGCAGACAGTTGTAAACTAAACACAAACCTTTGTTTTGGCTGAATGCAAAGTTCCCGAAACTCTGAGTCTGTGAAAAGAGAACAACAAACGAAATCTTTTGACTGACAGAAAAGATACAAACAAAAGAACTTTACAACAGGAGAAGAAAGAAAGGGAGGACTGAGGCTGTAAATGTACACGAGGGAAACCAGAATAATGAGATGCTGCTGGAATTAATCCAAGAAGACAAATGAGACAGAAGCTACCAAAATAAATCAGGAAGTAACAAAAAGAGCAACAGAAACAGAGAATTAACAACACACAGAAGACAGTAGGACAGGAAGACTGAGCCTCTGGGACTTAACTCAAACAATGAGCAATAATTAGTTATATAAGGAGACAGAATTAAAACCAAGCATAAAAGCGTGAGGGGAAAAGCTAAAATAAAACACTCAAAATGACCAGAAGAAAGAACTAATTAAGCAGAAACATACAATAATAAACACAACTACAAGAGTAAAGGTTAATGGTAGAAGAGGGTAAAGGACCCAGCACCATAACAAGTTTCTCACTGTTATTTGATTTTGGCTTCATTTTTGTTGATGAATTAATAACACAATATTTCACACACTGTGCAGTTCTGAGAAAAATAATCATTTCATTTCAAAAACAGACACTTTGGATTACTGTGCAGCCTACAGCACAGTAATCCCAGCTGGAAATGCTGCACCAAGATACAGCTGCTGCACATCTCATGAAGCTGTTCAAACTCCATAATAACATCTCTCCATCGCTGCAGCTGTTTTGCTCATAAAGCTACATTCAGTACGGTGCATGTCTGTTTAGCTGCAGAATAAAGGAGTACTCACAGACGTGCAGTGACGGTGCTCTGCTCACTCCACAGACGTGGACTTTGACGACTAGTTAAACAGCAACACAGTTGTTTGTATTCAGAGTTGAAAGTCCTTAACTACAAGTGGAAATTCAGCATGCAGCCAGTCAAACATACAGTAAACACTATTCAGCCACATGCTCAAATGAACAATGTTATTTATGTGTAATGAGCAAAACTGTGGTTTTTCTGGACAGTTACTCTTGAGTTTGGCATGTAGTGGGTCAAGTATAAAGAACAACACTCATGTTATCTGGATGTTATCTGCTTTTGCTGGACAGTACTGAGGCACTCTGTAAGTTGGGGGAAATGCCTTCCTTCTTATAGTAAGTGCGCAGGGAAAACATACAATACAAATCAAAAACACACCAACCCATTTGAATCAAATAGCAGCCTGGAAGGGAGGTGAACCATAAAAGGTGCTACAAAGAAAAGCAGATGCACCATCAATGCCAAAAACACACATTTCAAAGGTGAAAATACGGTTTTACAAAAGGAGCACATCATAAACAACACTCACCTTTTCCATAACGTAGGGTTAGAGGGGTGTCCTCATTCTCATTTTGTTGTAATGCATTCGCCCTTTTCTTCATTCTCACGTTTGCCCCATTTCCTCTCGTCACCTTGCACACATTAAATAAGGACTTTGTACAGAGTGGGCCATTTATATGGATACAGCGTAATAACATGGGAATGGTTGGTGATACTAAAGTCCTGTTTGTGGCACATTAGTATATGTGAGGGGCAAACTCCTCAAGATGGGCGGTGACCATGGTGGCCATTTAGAAGTCGGCCATCTTGGATACAACTTTTGTTTTTCAATAGGAAGAGGGTCATGTGACACATCAAACTTATTGGTAATGTCACAAGAAAAACAATGGTGTGCTTGGTTTCAACGTAACTTTATTCTTTCATGAGTTATTAATAAACAAATAAATGTTCCAGTTCTATGAAGCTTTGAGTGATTTTGGATCAGTAGCTGCTGTGTTTGTTGCATCATTTGCTGTAATTGTTTATATGCTTTATATATTCTGAGCTAAGTTGATCTATAGTGTTACATCATATTCTATAAGGATGTTATGTGTTTGTAGACTTCCTGCCCAGTTTGACCCATTTAGCAGACGTCAGCCTGTTTAAGGCTCTGATATCTATTCTGTGTGACTTACAGCAGTTATGACATGGTCTGATTTTCTCACCCAATAAAGGAATATTTCATATATCAGTCGACTCTTCATTCTATCAGACACAGTTATCACAGCTCGTACATTTGCTTTTTACACATATATGTAAGCATTGAGCCAAATTTAGTAATGCCAACATATTAAAAGAACAATATTTGTCTCTTATATATGATACATCTATATACACACTGTCACAGATACTTGTCTTTGAGTGAAGATTTAAGGTGGTAGGAAAATAACTGCAACATAAATCTTTACTGAAGCTCAGTGTTTGACACAGAGTTCAAACTCACTGCTGTAATAAATAATACTGATTAATATAATAACTATAATATTGGCCATATTATATTTACACTGACTTTAGTCTCATGAACAACATGAGCTAATTGTTGTTTACTAACTAATCTTAAATGACTGTTCAGCACAGAAATGAAGCCCAACAACCATGTTTACAGTCCCGTGGTCTCAGCCTCAGATACTCAGCTAATCACAGCTCATGTAGAAACAAATGTACAAAATATGTTCTCCTTCATTTCTGTCAAACACAGCTGTATGAAACGTTTCCAGCTGTTGGTATCATGGTTGCTAGGCAACCTGAGCAGCGCGTGGAGGCTAGACCGTCCCATTTCACAAGCCTACAAGCCTCGCACTTCCGGCCTTAGCGGTCTTTGAGTGCGGCTCTTGAGGACCGTTGAGGCTGCAGACCCTGAATTGGGATCCAGCCTGTGTGTCACAGAAATAAGAGGCTGCAGGGGAAGCTGCTTCTTGGGTCTGACACCGAGGGCAGAAGGCTGCTCTCAGATCCTTGCCTTGCTAGCATGTGAAAAACCGGTCGAGCTGTTCGTCTTGCTTCGTTAACGGGAATAAGTCTAAACCAGCGGGGCCTGTGAAGCGCAGACCCAACAGAGCTGACTCGAAATTTCGAGTTATGGAGAATTTTTTATTTTTTGTGTGGTGGAAATGGGCATCCATAGCCATGACCTCTGGTTGGGGTTTGAGGTTTTGTTGAGGCAGCCAACACAAACAGTCATGGCACTAGGCTGCATGTGATGTCACTTACCTGAGCACACAAACATCATTAACGCCATCACGAGTACCGTTTAGTTTTGCAAACATTGTTTTATTAATCCATCAGTTTGTAATATATAAATTACTTTTAAAAATCTGAGAAGCAGCTGCACCAACAAGAAGAAGATGGCATGAAAACACAGGAGTTATAAAAGCCTAGACTGTGTTTACAGAAGCCATTTACCCAGGAGGTCCACGTCTCCCACAATCCTTTCAAGCCTCCCGAAACGTATTCGTGTTTTTTCTGTTTTACATGTACTCAACAACAGTACGTTGTTTTGTTAAAAAAAGGTCTCTGCGTCTCCTGTGGCACTCGGTCCATCCAGCTCAGTGCAATGTCAGGGAGTTTGTTTGTTGTTGGGAGGGGCTACGGCGTGTGGCAACATGCTCGCTTCTCCTCCTCATCACGTCTCACATTTCATTCGCAATGTCATCGAGCTCTCCTGCCGACAGGTCGCCATTAGAGCTGATTACGGTGCTGTTGTCCTGGTAACCAGGCGGCATGAAGGCCAGGCTGTAGGGGTAGATCTTATGGCAGGCAGCTCGATAGGCCTCAGCTGCCTTCTGCTGACCCTCACCTAGCTGGCCGTCACGCAAAGCCTCCAGGACCTCGGCACAGATCTGCAGCACAACACACACAAAGTCAACTACAGTGGACACAAAGCTGCTGTGTGACGTCACTGCGGACAGCATCACAAACCTGAATGCTTCGTCCAGCCAGCGACTCGTCCAGCGCTGTAGCTATCTCACACGCCATCTTATCAGAAGAAGGCTCCAGGTAAACCATCATCTTAGCAGCTGAGAGACGACACACAATGATTTCAAACAGCACTGAACATCACGTACGAACTGACAGAATCTGCACAATTCGAACGAGCATGAAAAGCAATATGACCGCCTTTGTTATTCGACACAGCCAGCGCTCTGTGGCGAGCTCCTTCCTAGTTCGTTGTAGATGAAACGGTTCAGAAACAGTTATTTTTAAAAGGATATTCTAACACCACCTCAGGAGGGGTTTCGCTCTGTTCTCTGTCAAGACGAGCGCTTCGATAATGAGGTCTGAGGCTCTGCAGAGGCCAATCTGGAAATTTACCTCCTGCAAGATTTGACAAAATATGAGTTTTAGGGGTTTATTAACATTACAGCATTTCCTATTGTATAGTTCAAATATAAGAATTATATTAAAGGGAACACCGACCCGCCGGGTTGTAGAGCACCTGATTTCAAAATGTCTGTAAACAGCGTCTGTTGCAAACTAGCATCACACGTTTGTTGTGTTACATTCATTTCTATGGGACCAAAGTGATTTCCTGAGCAATGATGAGTACTCATATTTTCCCTTTTTACTCTCAAACACCCTAAAATTCACAATATGATCGATAAACATAAATATGACACGATGCCGTTTTCATTTAACATGAACATATAACATGACCTTTGAAATATAAAGGATCAGTAGAAGCCCGTTGATGGTAAGGGGAGGGATGTCAAACGTTTTACAAATGCACACATGTTCAAGTGCAAACTAGTAACTAAACTTAAACATGTGCAGTCATTGGTGTGCAACGTTTGAGGGCTAAGCTGCTGCTAAAATGTTCACTTACTGGAGACAACATCAAAGTGTTATTCCACGTTTCCTGGATTATATTTATATTAAAACACGTAGAGCTGTGTAAAGTGCTCAGCTGGAGGAGACACAGCTGTGTAAGAACAAGTCCATTTGAACATTTAAGGTTTGGATAAAGGCGAACGTAAAACCGCTTCACGTGCAGTCAAACTGCTTTGTGTTTGTATAAAGGACGGGGAGCACACAGTGCCAGGTTTCTTTGGTTTTGTTTGCTCGTTTGTTTCAGCTCTTTGACCATGTTGGTGCAAAAACATCATCTTAAACCTGCCAAACTTGTCTTCCACATAGATTTTAAACAAACGGGAACAAATGGCCAGAAGCAAAGTGCCAGAAACACCATTTAAATTGACTTTTGGCACTTTGCTACTGTTGTGTTTAGACAAACAGTTACTCTTCCCTTATACATACACCAGTGTTAAGTGGCTTAAAGTTACAGCGTACCAAACTTCCACCAATAGTTAGAAAACAGAACTCGGTTGGCTGCAATATGCTGACCCCCCTATCACGTGAATGATCCTCGCCTGGTGGGTAGGACAGGACAAACATGTTGTAGCCAAGACATCGAAGACACGACATTTGGACGGTACCCACGATGACCACGGGTGGTGTAACAGGGCGGCCCTTAGCGGCTGGAATCACAGTGAGATGGACCAGGGCAAGTGCAGTGGAACGAGCATTAATTTGCATACAGCTCTCCTTCATCTACTGACAACTGGCAGCCTTGAGTACTTCCAGCTGTCACAGACTAAGCCATTATTCCACTCACAGGTAAATTCTCAAATCCCAACCTTCCACCACATTACACAATATATCAATTAGAATAAATAAATATACATATTTCACACTTTCATATTAACAGATATTTGACTTTCATCTTATACCAAAGCCCTTATTATAAAAACCCAAACATCCAAGCACAAAGACTGCCCACACTCCCTTAACCCACGGTCTCTCCCAGAACCTTTAAATGGTGTCTGGACCTTGGAGACAACACAGGAAAGAAAGGCGAGTCCTCACATCTTACAGTCACTTCTTTGCATCACCTTTAATTCTACATATTTCACACACGTTTGCATTACTTCTTACTGGTAAAGCTTATTTTCTCTCAGTCACCGTCCTTTTCACAGACACCACCACGTTCCTTGATGAGGAGCAGCTGTGCAGGATCTGAGACAAGGCTACCAACTGCTTTTAAAATTCCCAAGAAATATTCAATAAATAATTAAACTTCTTATGTGCAAATCCATGGTTAAAGTGATAAAGTGCCCTTAATTAAGTGAAAGGTGTGCTTGAAAGTGCTATAAAATTATAATATAAATAACAGTAAGGGAGTCCTCGTCCTTACAGCCAGCGGGCGTCTGCTACGGTTGGGACCGGATCCAGCTCCACCTCAGAGCTGTCAATGCTGGGTGAGAAACATCCACCTTGAATTACTCTGGAGGAGGCTGTCGGACTCTGAACGGGGTTCAGGTTGGTCTCAGCTGGAGTACAGGGAACTACACCTGACTTTCACATTTTCAGTGGAATAAAGCCATTTAATCATCATTTAATCATCAAATGTGTTACTATTGTTTCTGACCAAACCTGAGGAAGCAAAAATTAACAAAAGGAAAAACGACACTGATGAGAACGCGACCAACGGGCAGAACGGGCGACCGGCAAAATAATCGCTCACAAAAGCAACGCCGGCCAGTTATTGTAATGGAAGTAACACTGACCTGTGTTTCAGTGCACCTGGATGAACCTTCCTTCAGTGTGTCACACCACGAGGAAGTTTTTCACTCATTTAATGCTGTTTATATAAATCTAAATCTCCACTGAAATGAGTTTGTTTCTAGACCGTCTCAATTTCCCCATGATAAACTCGGACGCTGCTAAAAAACCTGACGCCATGAGAAGCATGCAAAGTAATAAGTCTCCTGGTCCTGTTTCCACTTTAAAAAAGTGTCAGGATAAACTGTTCCCAGTACTGCTCACAGTGTAGAAGGAATCCTTGCATCATGGCACCCTCAGAGTCCATTGCTCTAAATCTATCTCAGTGTCATCACTGCGACAAAGCCATCGGGCAACTTGACACGTGCTCTTCTCTTGCTCGCTACTCGCTGGCTTTTGGCAGAATTATTTCGATACCACGACAAAGATCCTTTCAGTGACCTTCCCCCGTGTTGCCATATTTTGGCTCCCAGTCGACTACGACTGGTTGACCTCTAACCAATGAAACATTTTGGCGTTTATTTCCTTGCTGGCAAGACGTCGTCTTCTCCTTCAGCAGAAGTCAACTAAGCTCCCTCCAGCACTCAGTGACACCACGTCTAAAATTGGAGAAGATTAGATATTCAGTGAAAGGTAACGCTGATAAATGTGATCATATTTCCCTATCATCCTTCTGTTCTCTTCAGTCTTTCTGATCGATGGATCCGATCTCTATCGATTCCACGCTCTCTGAGACCATGAAACGGCTCTCTATTCTAGTCTTTCGGCCTAGTTTTATATGATCATTTCCCTCGTGTTCGCCCTGTTGTGTCACGTTTCTGTCAGTGATGTTTGTCTCCCTGTTTTATTTAGGTAATCCCCGTCCCATTTGTTAAGTATTCAGGTTTATTTCAGTAGTATTCAGTTTCGTTGTCTCTTATCAGTTTCAGCTGTGTTCCCGAGGCGTTTCCTCTCTTTCAATCCCAAACCTTCTGTGCATTTATAGTTGCAGTCTTTGTCTTTTGTTTATCCCTGTTTTTCCTCCTTGTTGCTGTCCTATGCTTTGTACACGTTTCCATCTCTAGTTAGCTTGTATTCCCCAGTGTGGATTGTTTAGTTCCACAAACATTAACTGTGCATTTTCCTGCAGACGTGCACAGAAGCACTGAGTTTGGGGCTAAACTCCGCTGAGTATTAGCCTGTTAATTAAAGCATTCATGAGCATTTAAGGTTACACAAAGGATAAAGTGACAAAACGGCAGTTTTCTGACAATCCTGGATAAAACCAACAGAGATTTTGATTATTTTTATGCAAAAGTTTTCCATTTGCAAGGTGAAGCAGGTAAACTGCATTCTTTGAGCTGTTAGTGCTCCCCACAATATCTGATGATTCAGCTTAATTTACATGCTCACACTGAGCTGAAAGAAATACAAACCATAATATCTTCCCACTTAGATAATAATGCCAGTAACCAGATGCCTTCAACACTGGATTCTATGAAATGTTTAGCTGCTGTCCTACTTTGTTACTGCCTAAAGAAAAACTGGTTAATAGACTGAAATTATCCATCAGACCACACTGGCTTTATGCCAGGCAGGCACACGTATTTAATTTGTGTCACCTAGTCAACGTTTTGTATGCAGGACAAACAGTGGAATCAGTCATTCAATGAAATAGAACCGTTCGACATGACGCACCCTTTAAGTTTGGTTTTGGACCCACATTTATAGAATAGATTGGTACACATCACGACTGTATACAACACGTATCTGTGGATCGTATATTCTGAAGCAATTTTAATGTAAAAGTCTACATCTGCTAACAGAGAGAAGCCAAACTGTTGTTCATTGTTCTTGTAACAGTGTAATGATCTACTCTAACAAAGGTTGTCCCCTTTTCTTCCTTTATGTGCTACAGAACTACATTACATGCAGTTGAGATAATCTCGTGATGATATTCTCTGACATGTCTCTAAGTCCCCTCTCTCTTAACACCAAATCAGTTTCTGGTTTTTCTATACATGGAGGTAAGCAGATGTATGCCGGTCTCCTCTTGGGTGGATGTTACTTATTTACAGCCCGTCCCTTTCATAGCAGCGATGGACGGGAATCACGACAGACAATCCAGAAGAACCTTCCACAGCTGATTTGGCAAAATAAGAGAGCAAGCAAAGCGGGGCATCCATCCTGGTACGAGGATGTCAAATTAAAATAATTAACTAAAATTATTGTTCTGCCACATTTTTGCCACCTATTTGGCCAATTCCTTGTTACACAGTGATTGAGAGTGGAAAATTACAAAGAAGTCAGAATTTCAAAGACTTATGTGCCAGAATCAGAGGAAGTTGGCGTTTTTCCCTTGGGATTGTCCATCCTCACATGGTGGGAAAACGGTCCACGCTTCACACCTGCCCAGCGTGGCTGCGTATGAACAACTATCCCATAAGAATAAAACAACATTGCTTGCTGATCTCCATCACCCTACTCAAGTTAAATCATATTTTAGTAACAGGTTTGTTATTATTAAATACACTGAGAATCTGATGGATAGACAAAACAATACATTAAGTCTGCCAATATGTACTTTATGATGCTCTAATTTGTGGAAATCATTCTTTGAAACTAATTGGAAAACTGATCTAAACTCACAGTCTGTAAAAAGAAAGGCATGTGTAACATTTGGGATCTTTAGATAGAAAATACATTTGTGTCGTTCACACAATTAGAGAATATTTACAAAATCCCTGCATCTGGTACTTAAAAATTTGAGATTATATATTTTAAAAAAGCAAACGTGCCCAACTCAACACCACGGATGAATAAATTCAATACTGACGCTGATAAGTCTCCTTATTCCTGTCACAGTCACGTGCAGTGGATGCCACATTACTCCACAGAAAGGTTTCATAACCCCAACATCTCACCCGTCTGTCAGAGATGCAAATCTGTCACTGGCAACTTGATTCACTCTTTCTGGTCATGTACAAAACTCAGCATGTTTCAGGGTTTTTCTGAAGCACATGGGGAGACCTGGTGTGACAGGCTCTTCAACATCAGTAAACAGGTCTGAACAGAGAAGTCAGAGAAGCTCATTTCTGACTGATGACAGCAATACAGAGGCAAGTTGTTGAAAATATCCTGAACTCTTAATAAGGGCTACTATTAGCCTCTGTTAGCTACTATTAGCCTCTGTTAGCTACTATTAGCCTCTGTTAGCTACTATTAGTCTCTGTTTGTACTATTAGTCTCTGTTAGCTACTATTAGTCTCTGTTTGTTACTAGCCTCTGTTAGCTACTATTAGCCTCTGTTACTCTATTAGCCTCTTTAGCTCTATGTCTCTGTACTATAGTCTCTGTTAGCTACTATTAGCCTCTGTTAGCTACTATTAGTCTCTGTTGTTACTATTAGCCTCTGTTAGCTACTATTAGTCTGTTTAGCTACTATTAGCTCTGTTAGCACTATTAGCCTCTGTTAGCTACTATTAGCCTTGCTATGTCTTAGCTACTATTAGCCTCTGTTAGCTACTATTAGCTCTGTTAGTTACTATTAGCCTCTGTTAGCTACTATTAGTCTCTGTTTAGTACTATTAGCTCTGACTACTGTTAGCTTGTTACTATTAGCCTCTGTTAGCTACTATTAGCCTCTGTTAGCTACTATTAGTCTCTGTTAGCTACTATTAGTCTCTGTTTGTTACTATTAGTCTCTGTTAGCTACTATTAGTCTCTGTTAGCCGGTTAGTGAAAAGTCTTTGAAGTGAAATTAACTTTGTTGGACTCTGATGCTTGGTGAGTAAACTCCAATATGGTGTGAGAATGTAATTAAACTGTTTATCAGGGGGAAAGTTTAATTTTTAGATACCAAAAAAAGGGTAACATTAGCTGGCATGATTTTATAGGGTTCATAAGCTAAGAGCAATATCAGCTTATAACCAGCTATTCTTGTTTAGCAACCTGCTGTCAGCTGCCCAGAGAGTCACATATTTAATCTGCTAACAATAAGTGAGTAAAATAACATCAGGACTACATTTGCAATACATGATCTTTCATATCTTGAGTCTAAAGGTGCAGGCCTGAATTTAAATTAGCACGAGAACACTTTGAAACCCTTCGTCTTTGGTGTGCTGCATGTGTTTGGAAATTGCAATTACATATGTAATTACGCACCGTGTGTATTTATGATCCTATATCCCTTTTCCAATAAACTCAAAAAATTAGCAACTTTAACTAAAATATGCTGAAAATGCTCAAGACTGAAGTGAAAATGAGTAAAACAGCAGCTTCAGAAAACCCGGAGGACTAATGCTCCATCTTTATAAAGATTACAGCCTGGTTTCAAAGCGTGAACAAAAGATTTCAGCACAGTACTTATTTTCCTCTTATGCTGTGTGTAAAAAATGTTTTTTAAAAAAGACTCTTTGTTCATAATAACAGACCTGTGGTCTGACCCAAAGCGGTCACTTCTAAAGATTCTCTTTCAGACACGTTTTCTAATATGTCTGAGCCCACAGTGTCTGAGCCCACGGTGTCTGAGCCCACGGTGTCTGACCCCACGGTGTTTGACCCCACAGTGTCTGACCCCACGGTGTTTGAGCCCACAGTGTTTGACCCCACGGTGTCTGAGCCCACGGTGTCTGAGCCCACAGTGTCTGACCCCACGGTGTTTGAGCCCACGGTGTCTGAGCCCACAGTGTCTGAGCCCACAGTGTTTGACCCCACAGTGTTTGACCCCACAGTGTTTGACCCCACGGTGTCTGAGCCCACAGTGGGTCATAACATTCACCACCAGGTTTGCGTACCAGCCAGTCTGTGTGGGATGGAGTTGGAGTGTTGGCTCAGGTAGCTCTTGTTGAAGCTCTGAGGGCTGCTCTCTCCAAACAGCCTGGAGATCTCGTGCTTCAGCACCGTTCTCACTGCCTCTGCCAGATCCGTGCTCTCACTCACTGTAAGTATATAAGACAGAGCCCAGTGAAGCTTTGAACGGTGATACCCCGAGACAATCACAGCAGTTCACGTAGCTCACAGAAGGTCACACTTACCTCCTTTGAAAAAGCGGACAAGACACTGATGCAGCCATGGATTATTAGGTTCTATGTGAACAGCCCTCTTTATGGACTGCAGCATCAGCAGGTACTTCTCTGGAGAAAGACAGAGACACAACGTTTTTGTCATTTTTGCAGAATGTAAGAAAGTCGAACTCTGAATTCCTCCGTCTACCTTCATTTCTAGATGTTCAGGCTGCTAGTTATTATTACATCTCTTAAGCTTTCTCGTTTTCCATGAGTCAATCTCTTCCATCCTAGTGCTCTTCTGTGCCTTTCAGATTCTCATTCAGGTGACCATCATCTCCACCTCACTCTGGAACCAGGCCATGAAGGAGAGGGTCTAGTGGCAGAGCCTTAGCCCACAGAGTCATGTTAAGGTGCAGCACAAATTAGCAACATGGGCCCGCCTTCTTGGGGCTCACCACCCGAGTGAATTGGGTTGTGGTCAACAGTTGAGGCCCTTGCAGTCTGACCCCTGGCTACTGAAATAAGCTCGAGACTTGACACGTCACCTTCCTAATGGGGAGCCTGAGCTTGAAGGAGCATGAAGGTGAGAGATACCATCAGGTAGATGTTTCTCTGCACCTCTAGGTTGGGGAATGTGTCCGACTGTGCTTTGATTTGTGCCGTTGCTGGGGGAGATTCTGGAAGGAACTGGTGAAAAACACCAGGAAGTTCGATCAGGTAGCAGGACAGGATGTTTGACAGGCATGGTGTACCCATAAATATAGTGAGGGCACAAGTGCACTGCAGTACCAGCGTGGCATTTCAGAGGCCATGGACCATGAGAACTTCAAGTTCATCCTCCAGAAGAAGTTCAACAGCAGTCAGAGAAAGGGTGGGGACATGGGAGTCAGAGCGGCATGCAGACTCTCATCTGCATGCCCTCACCCACACTTTCCCTCTTCATCTACAGAGTTAAACCCTGCAGCATCAAAGCAAACACTGCTCCACACTAAACCTGCACGTCATGTTACTGTGACAATAAGCCAAAGATACTTCTGGAACACCTAGTATGGACTTAGGCACTGGAATAGCAATACAACAGTACAAACTGAGATGAGTCTTTGTGCCGAAGCCCGTCTCACCTTTCCTGAAGTAGATCTCAAAAGCCAGCAGATGAGTCTCAACCTTTTTCCGCACCAGGTTCTTAAGTGGGATCAAGAACTTGACTGCTTCATCCAAAGGATTCTCCGGCTGGAAGGAGGAGTTGTTTCATTAGTAACATGTATGACTGAGGGCAGCTGCACCAGCTGCAAACATCTGCCCACCTTGGCCAGTTTGTCTGGTATTAGCTCCTCTTTAGGCCCTCCAATCTCTTCGTCATCATCCTCCTTCTTCTTCTTCTGGTTCTTGAGCTGCTTTTCCTTCTCTGCGTTCTTCTTCTCCTCTTCTAACTGGGCCTTCTTCTGTGCTCTTCGCTGTTTATTGCGCAGTTTCTTCAGCTCCTTGTCTGTCAGATTTTCTATAGAGAAGAAAGAGAACACCAGTGTTATGACATAATGCCTTATACTCCAGCTTTGCATGTCTGCTACGTCTGAAGACAGAACAGACCTCAACTTGACTGTACACCGAAAGACTGGTTTTAAAATTTGATTTAGTAAACAACTCGGGCTTAACCCCTGTACAGCAGCTGTCCCCAACCCCCGGGCCTCGGACCGGTACCGGTCCGTGAGTCGTTTGGTACCGGGCCGCGAGAGTTGAGGCTCAGGTGTGTAATGTCTGGTTTTCAGGGTTTTTATCGGTTTTCAGCGTTATTTTGTTATCGTTTTTATCATTTACTCTGTGTTCCTGGGTCTTTTCACGTGTGTTATGAATAAATCTTTTTTTCGGTACCGGTACTAGTTTTATTTTGTTGTATTTATCCGCGACACCTTAAAGGCCGGTCCGTGAAAATATTGTCGGGCATAAACCGGTCCGTGGCGCAAAAAAGGTTGGAGACCGCTGCTGTACAGGACACCAGGCCAAAGCTTTTGGCTGTGTGTGCAGGCCTGTACTGCAGAACACAGCCTAAGCTTGTGGATCGAGTCTGTGAACATATCAGATTCTGAAACTCAGAACTGTTAATGGCTTTTTTGTTTGTTTTAGTTCAGTTTTGTTTCTTTTTTACATTTTGTGCAATGTCCCAAATGTGAAAATGCTGTTTTCATGTACAGAGATAGTTTTACACAAGTTCTGCAGGAAAATGAATCCATTTTGTTTTCTGAGTGGTATGAAAGTTACACATCTTTGCAAGCAAAGACTAAAAAAGCCAAGACCCCCCACGAGTGTTCTGAAAGTTAAAATCATCTTTAAGTCTTTAACAATCTGTATTTCAGAAGCTAAATATCAAGCCATCTATCCAAGGCTGGTGCTTCAATCCCTGCAAGCCTAATATCCTTACAAACAAACTAAGCCTAAATTTGCATTGCGACACATCCATCGGAGTATGAATGTGTATGAATGGTAGACAGGGAGAACTTGCCTGTGCGATTGGGTGAATGAGGCAAGCTGTGTAAAGTTGAGTGCTCAGATAGGGTAGAAAGATAAGAACCAGTTCATAACATCGTTAAAAGAGCTACTTGTAAATCAAAGTCGTGCTGCGCGTGCACATAGAGTCTGACCTGTGTCTGCCTGGCTCTCCTTGCTGTCATCAGTCAGAGGTTTGTCGTGCAGGGTCAGGTAGATCTGTATTGCAGTGCGAGCAGCTTTGTAATAAAATGGGTGCTGCCGTAGGACATCCTCCAGCTTCAGCAGGTCCACGTAGGAGCGCAGCGTCATCTTCCTCATGCAGTAGGTGTGGAAGTCAAACTGGTCATCAGTGATCTCCACAAAATGCTGATGAAGAGAAGAAGGGGGCAGCTTTGATCAGCAGGTGATCAGAAAACTTCTGATCACTTTGTGGAAATTAGCTGAACTTGAAAGGTAACACTGTGCTGCAATCTATGATGTTTTTGGAAATCTTTTATTTGTCTTCAAGCCAGAGATTGTCACCTGAACTAGAGAGGTAGCAGGATATTGTAGAAAAGGTTTAAACGTTTGTCGTTAGCAGTTGGGTGGAACGTGTGAATATGAACAATGAACTCACTCTCTCAATTTCATGGCACTTCTTCAGGGCCTCTCCGTACTTGTTCAGCGCCTTGTAGGCCAACGCACATTCTGTCTGGAACCACATGCACTGCATCTCGTTCAGGTTATCCACTGCCGACGTGCCTTCCTGAAATACACAAACTTCCAAACTTACTTTGTGCCACCAGAAGACAAACTGAGGAAAATGATATGTGCTGGTGCTAAGCTGAAGCTGTGTAGCTGAAGAAAAGGTTTACGTAGACAACGAGGTTGGTGTTTTGTCTTCATGCAAACAGAGCTTGGAAAGAAAAGCGTCTGGACTTCTTTAAGTTGTCCGTCTTTGGGGGGACACTCCCACGGGGTTTATATCTGGGACTCTCCACCATGTGACTCATAGAACTGAAGAAGCTTCTCGGATGAGAGGTGAAACGTCTTCAAGCAACTTAAGTCCAGATGCTTTCTTTGCAAGCTCCTTAATCACAGAGTGATGCAAAAGGCAATGCAACACACACACACACACACACACACACACACACACACACACACACACACACAACACAACAAACACACACACACACACACACACACACACACACACAAACACACACACACACACGGGTGCTCAGAGAAGAGCTCGAGAGGATGTGGAGGGTGAAGGTAACGGTGGTCCCCGTGGTAATCGGAGCACTCGGTGACTCCCAAGCTAGGCGAGTGGCTCCAGCAGATCCCGGGAACAACATCGGAGATCTCTGTCCAGAAGAGCGCAGTCCTGGGAACAGCTAAGATACTGCGCAGGACCCTCAAGCTCCCAGGCCTCTGGTAGAGGACCCGAGCTTGAAGGATAACGATGCAGAGGCGAGTACATATATGTATACACACACACACACACACAGATATATAATCTCTTAACTTCAATTATAGGCTTTGCTGTTGAGTGCTATGTACAAACTGGAAGGCCAAACAACACCAGCTCAGGTCCACACTCCCCGTCCCAATGACTCCTCCCTCTCGATCACTGACACAATGCTGGAGTTTTATTACTTTGGCAACATTTCAAACATGCCATCTGCTTACTCGTGTGAACTTGGAGCACATCTCCTCTGCTTCCTTGATGAGGCCAGCCTTCAGCATGTACTTGGCACACTTGGAATTAATGAAGCGGTCTGCAGTGTCCAGGGCCTGAGCCTCGTCCATCCACCGAGCTGCTTCTTTTATGTTGCCTGCATGCTAGAGGGCAGAGGAGCTGGGTTAGCAGACATGGAAAGACCACACAGTGAACAAAAACACCTGTGTGTGCAGAGCTTTCCACCACACCTTGTAGATCTTGGCTTTGATGAGGAAGAGCTCAATGAGCGTAGGTGTGCTGTCGATGGCTGCATTAATGAACTCCAGCGCCAGGCGTGGCTGGCCGACGAAGTCAAAGTGCTGTGCCAGGAAGTACTGCACCCACAACAGGGTGGTGGGGGGTTCCTCCTTCCCATCATCTGTGCACACATTTAGTACAGCTGTCACTGAGCTTGGTTCAAGTCACAAACATTCAAATAAATAAATGGAGACTGGAGATGATGGAAACCATTATAACCAATTAGCACTCACCATTTTCACTAAACATTCGACAGCTTTTTAAACAGGTTTCATAGCCAACTACTAATTCTTCAATAACTGTGACCTGCACGTAGAGAAAACAACTTTATTATCCCTTTATTTTAAAGAACATTTTCAAAACAGACTTAAGTTTTAAGCACCACAAACGTACTTTCTCTTTGTCGCTGTAAAGGGACTTGAGGGTGGTGAAGACGGGAGGACAGCCTTTGCTGAAGTTGATCCTCAGGTAGCTGTCCAGAGACTGACGAAACCTCTCCCCTGGCCAGCACAAACACACAGCAAACACACAGCGAGGTTTACGCTGTCACTAAAATGTGAGTTACACTCATAAGCTGACTAATCAGTTTGTTTCTGCTAATTCTGAGCGCACCAAATACAGAGACAACAAATCCCAGGTCATGAGTGTCGCCTATTCTGAGCCGTAGCTGATTCTTTCCTGTTTGCTGTGATGAATTCTAACTGTTCATGGCAACATTTTACGAACCCTAAACTTCAGGGGCAGCGCATACTTGATAAAAACATGCTGGGTCCATCATGTTACGCACTGACACAGATACAGCCATAAGCTAATTTTTTCTCTTTATTTAAAAAATAAAAACACCACCTCACAGAAGCAGTAAACACAAGTGTGAGAATAACAACATTGTGATTTGGTATTTAATAAAATAAAAGACATAACAGACAGAAAAGGTGTATTTGCCAAAAATCCAGGTTTACCAGTGAGGAAGTTGAGAGGCAGCCTTCGGGGAACGAGGCCTTTAGGAAACTTTATGCAGGACGCTTCATAAATCTTCTGCCGCGCCTCTAAACTGCCTGAAGAGAAAGGAAAAAATGGTCAACTAAAGCTGCAGGGGTCAGTTAATATCACAAATTCACACAGACAATCCAAACTTCTGCTCACTCAGGATATCTGCTGAGTTCAGTTCGTTTGGTGGTCAAATGGTGCATTATCTCGCAGCCACAGAGGACAACAAACTGTAACTACAAAGGGATGAACGTGGCTGTTAAGAGCTAAGAGTGTGCTATGACCATATACCCCACACTGTTACAGCACAACGAGCAGGCGCCATGGCTCCATGCTGCTGTTCGAGCATCAGCAGATACACACAGACTGGGACGAGCTCAGACATCAGTCTGGAGCATAGAGCAGCAGACATGGGCTCACAGCTTGTGGATATTTGTGCTACATTCAGGCGTCCAGTGCAGATTGTGAAAGAGGCTTCAGTTTATTGAATCGTATCAAAACAGCCTCCAGAAATGAAGTGGATCAGCGTGTACGACCACTGAAGACTCGAGACAGACAGATGGAAAATTGAAAGTGAAATTGAAGTTCTTCATCAGTTTTGTGCTTATTCTAATGTCATTTATTAAGAATGTTCATCTATAACGGTTAATAACCCTTAAATGACCACGAGTAGTAGAAATGTTAATAAAAATTGTCATTTTCACAGTATCACCTGTCATTGTGCAAAATGTCAAAGTTTTAATGCGAACAAAATGTTAGTGCTCAAACCCACAGGAGCCCCACCCTGACCCCAGGAGGAGGACCTTCACACCCACTGTGAAAGAAGCAGACGGGCTTTTAACTGGGACAAAGTGTGCAACTAGTGGAGGAGTGAGAAGGACACACAGCAAAAAATAAGGTGAAATTCAAGTCTTCAGTTGCTAAAGCGTATGGTTAGGCTGGATCAGGTGACCCTGAATCCTCCCTGAGGCTACGTTCACTCTGCAGGTCTTGATGCTCAATTCAGATTCTTTGATCAAATCAGATTTTTTGTCTGCTCGTTCGCACTACAAATAAAATGCGACAGCAACGCGCTCTAGTGTGAACGCTCAAAGCGGCCGCATGCACAAAAGAAGACGTCACACACGACGCGCTCTGTTCAGACCCAGAGCAACAGTATGTTTGACTGATGGCCTTCATATAAAGACTTCGGACTTTACGTTTCCCAATTTTGCTTTAAGTTATAAAGTTATTTTGTTATTTGCATAATAATGATCCTTGTTGCTGTTTTAGAGGAGCGCTGCTTCAAAGGTTAGCTGCAGATTATGCAGTACAAAGAAAATGTTCACGTTTCTCCAACGTTGTCTTCCCAACAGTTTCACTGACATCTACACGGGATGGCCAGGAAGCGTTCGCCATGTGTTCTCGGGCGCTTCTGCGTTGCTGATAATCGGTGTCTGTCTTGTGTCAGTGAGCAGCAGTCGCTTTCTAAAACATCGGATATGTGTCGGATTCAGGACCACATACGAAAGTGACCCAGGTTGGATTTGAAAATATCGGATTTGTGGTTTTCACACTGTCAGACCATGATCAGATAGATGGGTCGCAGAGGGTTAAAAAAATAGGATTTGATGCGCTTTCACCTGCAGTGTGAACGTAGCCTTAGTTATGCTCCAATAGACGTAGGCTGCTGGGGATTCCCATGATGCACTGGGTGTTTCTTCTTCACTTCACTATGTGTTAACAGACCTCTCTGCATTGAATCATATCTGTTATTAACCTCTGTCTCTCTTCCACAGCATGTCTTTATCCTGTCTTCCTTCTCTCACCCCAACCAATCACAGCAGATGGCCCCGCCCCTCCCTGAGCCTGGTTCTGCCGGAGGTTTCTTCCTGTTAAAAGGGAGTTTTTCCTTCCCACTGTCGCCAAAGTGCTTGCTCATAGGGGGTCATATGATTGTTGGGTTTTTCTCTGTATCTATTATTGTAGGATCTACTGTACAATATAACGAGCCTTGAGGTGACTTGTTGTGATTTGGTGCTGTGTAAATAAAATTGAATTGAACTGAATCAGATTTGTGCTCATCTAGTGTCATTTATTTACAATTTTCATTTATGGATATTGATCAGTAAATACTGTCACTACTGTATGAGTAGTAGAAATGCATATAATCATGTCATTATATACTGTATTTGCAGACAAAGAGTTGCAGGACTCTCCCAGGCCACAGTAGGACCCTCTCACCCCGTGCACAGCAGATACAAACTTTGCAACTGACCAAAGTTTGTGACAGAAATGAACATGCAGTTATCAGATGTCCTCAGTTCTCAAAAAAGAAACAACCAGGGGTGCCGGCGTAGCTCAGTGGATGAGCAAGCGACCACATGTCGTATGGCCGGACAGCAGTATGCCCGGGTTTGAGTCCGACCCTCTGCACGTCCTCCCCTCTCTTGCTCCCTGCTTTCCGTCTATCTACACCGTCTCTATCCAATAAAGGCGAAATGGCAAAAAAAATTTACCTTAAAAAAGAAAAACAACCAGAAAATGTTTAAACAGACTCCTGAAACTCTACTTTCCACACGCAAAATGCCCAACCTATGAGCAGTTCTACAAAAGTGGACAAAAACATGTTGGTAGGGCTGTGCGATATGACCAGAATCTCATCTCCCGATATAAAACATCTATCGTCCGATATCGATGTAAATCACAAACATTTAACATTTTCTGTAAACTCTGTGAATCTCGGGCAGCTCGACTTGCGTGAAGTGTTTCCAGCTGTGCGTCGTGTAGCTGGAGTCGAGTGTTTTAACCGATGCATGAAACGACACATTTTTAGACACAAGTTGTAACGGCGCCGTTTCCTTTGTGAGTATTTATTACACGGCGTGCTGCGGGGAGAAGCCTGTTCTAACGTTTGAGTCTAAGGTTTATGTTTTAGCACCTGGCGACTTTTTTACTTCTCATCCGTAAATAATCTGCTCTTTCACGTGATTCAGTTTATTTTGAAAAGTCTCAACAGGATCTTGAGCTTTATTGTGAAAGGTTTATGTGGAACATAAACAAGCGGACACGCGATGGTGTTACCGTCGTGGTTGCTAACCACAACGCATAAAAACAGGCGCTTCTGTAGTGTGGTTATATTAAATATAAGAGAAAGAGACGTTTAATAAATGAATACAGCCACTACAGTGACATCAGAACCATGAGAAAATATTGCTGCAAACAGTTTGTTTTGCGACACCACGAAACAAACGACAGCGTGAAATGAAATGACGGACGTTTTTATATCGTCATCAGATATACATCGTTATATCGAGCAGCCCTACATGTGAGCTCTAACAAGCAACGATATGAAGGTCATGGCAAAAGACAATGGATAGAGCACCAAACTCAACAACAAGGCCCACTTACTAAGGCCTGGAACAGCTGTGTGTGTGAATCCACAGACGCCACTGAGGAAAATGAAATGTCATGTTCCTGACTCCATGGTGAGAGCAGTGGAACCATGCCAGGAAGGGTGGCACCAAAGTTCATCCCCGACCTTTTCAGAAAAATGGACCAAAGTGTTAATGAAACCGAGGCATCCAGATTCTACACTGTGTGTGAGAGGTGCTTCAAACGGGTGCAGGGTGAGCACTTCTTTGGACTCTGGAGGAGCTGGCTGTTGTAATTAGGTGCATATATCAGACAGCAACAAAGGTTTTGCACCAACAGATTCCATGACCGAGCAGACATCTCCAGCCTGCGGTGCTGCTAGCTGCGCTTACTGGCACCGCAGCTTCAAACATCTCTGGGAAAACACTGCACTGTATTCTGAAGTTGCTAAGATCTTTAGACCCACCATATCAGGGACTGGGAAACGCACTGGATGAAATGAGAGCTGCACTTTCAAATGCAGAGATTCTGATGAAATATCTGTGGTTTCAAGGAGCTTTTTGTTTACAGCCACTGCAGATTTCAGCAGACCAAAGGAAACAGGAAACCTTCTGCTGGCATGTCTGTTCTTGAGCAGGAGACTTTCACCAGCTGCCACTTTATTATTCCTCCTTATTTCTGTTCGCTGTCCGAGTCTGACTGTCAGACACAGACCCCTCCCCCTGATCTGTGTGCATGTGTGTGAGACTTTTACAATCAACTATTATTATCTTCTCATTAGGACTGTGTGATATGGCACAGCTCTACCAGGAAGCATCATAACTGCAGGGCAAGTACAACAGAGTATTTGTAGTACTAATAACCACAAACACAGGAAATACTGGTGCTGGCCAGTGGTACCCGTCATCTTTCTAGTAGGTACACCTGGAGCATCAATTTCAAAATTCTAGATCACATTCACAGGATTTTTGAAAACTTGACCTTTGAACTTGGGGTCAAAGTCACTGAGATTGGACCTCAGACTGGAGATCAGAACTTTTAGTAGATGCATTTCTAGAAAAAGTTATGCAACACTCTCTAAAATTAAAGCTGTGCAGAGCTCTGTGTTTCCCTGAGGCACATATCTGTTCCCAGGATCCTTTCTACAGCTCAGCAGGAGTAAATGGTAAACTGATTCTTAGATAGTGCTTTTCTACTCTGCCGGAGGACTCAAAGACCAGCACGTGCATAGACATTCATTATATGTGCTGTTGTTTCCTTGCACACAGAATAAATGCAGCTCGCTACTCTCTGCGTCTCACTTCATAAGGGAATTTTTCCAGCAGGCATAAATTTGAGACTCAACGTTGCTTTGTTCTCCACGTGATTGCAATCACAAACTTGTGTCCACGCTGCCTGTGCAGCAGCCAGGCAGGGAGACGACAACGCCTTCATTATAATAAGTAACAACAGAAGAAGTGTGATGGATGAGAAAGTGCTCACCTGGCTTTAAGGCCTTTTCCAGGCCTTGGTAGTAGGCCCAGTTTTCTGGGTTCCTTTCCTGGAGTCTTCTGTAGACCTCTGAAGCCTCCTGATGTTTCTCCAGCTTTAGCAGCAGCTCTCCTGCAAACACAAACACTCACTGACTCCGAGGTCGCACACTTTTAACACCAACGACACCCACAGCCATTCTTGTCTCTTTCCCCTTTTGTTTGCTGAAGGCCGGGTTTCTTTTGTTGATGAAACCTTGACCCTTCTGCTTTGTCGTCCTCCAAGTTGCCAAAGAAGGTACTGTTTACACCTGGAAATGTTCCAGTCTGGGTTTAAAACACACCACAGCACCAAATCTGCTCTTTTAAGAGTTTTTAATGACATCTTTTTAGCGATGGATTCTGGGAACAGTGTTTTTACCTGTGCTTTAAGATCTAACAGCTGCTTCTGACACAGCCTCATCTCCACACTGGAGCAGTGGGGGCAGCTGTCAAAAATTAAGCCGGTCCTGTTTAGATGCCACCTAGAGTCTCCGATCCATGCATTCATCACGTCTCTCCTGGATTATTGTGATTCTCTTTAGACTGGACTCAGCCAGGCCTCCCTGTCACGTCTGCAGCAGGTACAAAACGCTGCTGCACGATTTTAAACCGGTACAAGCAAACGAGAGCACATTACCCCAGGTTCAGTGTCCCTTCATTGGCTTCCCATTAAGTCTTAATGGTCTTTCCCTTCTTATTTGTCTGAGCTGCTTCCCTCCCACATGCCGTCAGTGCTCCTCAGTTAACCAGGTGCTCTTCACTGTCACAAAGACTTTTAATAAAACCAGACGGAGCCTCTGCAGTTTCGTCTGCCACTGCAGGTCAGGCAGGCTCCATCTCTTGCTGCTTCTCAAACCCATTTAAAAACACACCTTTTCTTAAACCTCTTACCCTGTACTGCTTTATTCTTTTATTTTTGTGTACAGCTGTTATATTGCTTTAAAGCGCTTCAGAAATAAAGTGAAACTGAAAAGGAATGAGCGTAGCAGGGAAGGGCTGGGACTAATCCCAGGCACCATGGAGCGAGGTGACATCACATGGAGCGAGGTGACATCACATGGAGCGAGGTGACATCACATGGAGCGAGGTGACATCACATGGAGCGAGGCTGACACAGAGACACTTACAGTCACATTCACAGCTAACCCCACTAACTGCACGTCTTTAGACTGTGAGGAGCCCACCTCCTGCTGTGAGCCAACAGTGCTGCCCACTAACTACACACAGTACACTGAGTGTTTGCTTTGTTCTTGTGTGCCAAATCTATTTTGTTGGTGCTAAAGAAAGTCCAGTGAAGCTGATAATTCATTTTCTTATCAACAGCAGCTGAAAAACATTTGCAGAAGCTGCAGACTTGACTTGGTTTACCACCTGCAAACACTCAGTGAGCAGCACGACACTGCACTACCCACCTCGGGTCTCCTCCACAGCCAGCTTGTCACAGATCTGTTTCTCGTAGCTGTTGAGGTGATCGAAGGCCTCCTTGTGCAGCCCGGCTTCCCTTAGGACCTGGTTCTGATACAGCAGCAGTTCACTGTACTCGTAATCCACTTTGTCAGGCGATGTCTGAAAAACAACGCACATAAAAAGGAACAAAAAATGATACATGGCCACATGGACTTGAAATGCCCATATTAGGCCGGATGTTTCACTTTGAACTTCACGTATATTATTTTTATTATTAGTAGTAATTTTCCTAGAAGGTTGGATGGACTGGACACCCCAGAGTGCACACTAATGCATCGATCAGACCTTCTGCTGCTTCTCACTACAGACAGCCAAACAGACGAGCCTAACTTCCTGGCCAGAAAAATGAAGCCCGTGCAGATGTCCCTTAAACCTGCCACCAAGTGGCAGCAAGTGTAGCTGCAGAAAGACGTGCAGACTTCCAGAAGTCGATGAGAACAAGGCTTTTTCTGCAACAGCTCGAATACTTTAAATGATCACTGCTTAGTTAAGGTCATGAAGGCCTTCTTATCCAGAGCTACTCACCTGTTGTGTTTTGCGGAATTCCTCAACAATCTTTGCAGCCATGTCAAAGTCCTCTAACAGGTGATAAGCCACTGCATATCCGATCCAGGAAGCTCGTTGGGCTGGACGGAGCTGTAACAGCTGGTACCGAGTCTCCTGGAGAGGGAAAGAGGCGCCATGCGCACGGAAGCAGCAATGTTAGTCCACAACTGTCCGTGTTTACAATCCGACTTTCCGTGTTTTGACACTAAAAAGGAAACTGACGCACGAGATCAGTTTGCCCAGTGTCAGCCTTCTACGGCCATCTTTTGATTCAGACGGTCTCATTTGTCATTCCTCACCCTGTATCCTTCCAAGTCTCTCATCTGGATCTGCAACAAGGAGAGGTCTCGGAGAATCTGCAGATTGTCCTTATCCCACTTCAGAGCGTTACGGTAACACTTGATGGCCTCGTCATACTTTTTATCTGAGCGCTGCAGCAGGCCATACACATGCCAGCCTGGCACGGTCAGAGCGTCAGAGAAAATCACGCATAAACACAGTTACCCACACGTTACACGAGTTCATATGAGAACTCAGGCAGACATTTTTCACAGGTTTCTCAGAGTGGATTCAGCAGCTGCTGTTAAGCTGAACAAAGGCAGGAGCACTGAAAGGATACAGACGTGGCTCTTGAGGTCGTTGCGCAGGCCTCGTCTCACCAGCTCGTACGCCTCCTCCTTCTTGCCCAGACAGTTGAGAGTTAAACCCTTCATGGCCAGCGTCTCTGGAGCAGGAAGGAGTGACGCATTCAGAGAAAGCTGACACGATGTGACGCATTTCACCACTCTTAAATGTTACTTTCTTCACACAGATATGTGCAGAGAGTAATTTAGCGGCTTTTATGTTCAAAAACATTGCTCATTATATCTTTACTGAGTTTCGTCAAACTGTACAACCTCAGCAGCTTAAAAAGAACATGCATTAAAAAGCCTGCACTCCTCTGGGCTCCAGGCTTTCCAGATGATGCAGGAACCTCTGTGCTGTGATAATAACTGATCAACTTTGGCTCACAGTCTGAATCGCAGCTCATCATGGAGGCGTTAACAGTGACGAAGCTTCCTTACTGCTTTGGACTTCATTAAAGTCTGTCTGCTCCTGAAGCCAGAGCTGGGAATGATCTTACCCTAACAGTAAGACAACATATTAGTGGTGGAGAGCAGAACTCGTCAGCCTCCTGGTAGGTGCACCTATGGCATTAATCACCTTGTTCTCAAGTTATTAGAGTTCTTCACAGGATTTTCAGACACCTTGACCAAACTGTCCAGGATTATTAGTAAATACACCGATGGTATCAATTTGAAACTCGGTGAGGTGAAGTTTGCTTCATCGTAGGGATGTCAGCAGAACAGATACTTATGACACGCAAGCATCTTATTCCCAGTTTTTGCTCACTTACGGTTCTGTTGTTGTCGTCGGCAACATAACTAATATTGAACTGAACAGTTTTTAATATCAAGATTCTGAACATGTGACTCCACTTGGGATTTTTCAAAGTACCACAGGCAGCAATTTACAGAGCCTCGCAGGGGACATGGGAGAAAAAAAAATAAGACGGACTTTTGCGAGATCTCGCAAAACAAACAAAAGTTTTAGCCGCATTCTTCGGAGGCCGCCAGCTCGAAGCCGACCGGGAGGTCGAGGCACGATGTGCCGGGAAAGCGGTGTTCCTCCCGGTTGTAGTAGGTCTCGACCTCCTGTTAGCTTCGAGATGGTGGTGTCAGATCTCCGAAAACGTCGGAGCACTTTTGCAAATATGTGATGTCTGGTAAACCGAGCAGATATCTGACATTTACACAACTACAATTATGCTTCAAAATATCTTAAAAGTGTATTTTGTGACCCAGAAAGCCTAATATTACAACTAAGTAGCTGCCGCCATTGTTGGAATTCAACTTTTGCAAGATCCCGCAAAAGTCAGTCTTATTTTTTTTTTCTCCCATGTCCCCTGCGGGACTCCGTAGCAATTATTCCAAGCATGACATTCTTTTGGAAATGAAGACATTTACATAGAGTGCAAAAGGGTTGAGCCACCACTAATTTCTTTATTCATAGATTCAACTATCAGGGGTTCAGCTATCAATTATTTTATTAAGCAAGTACTCCATCAATAATTCCATTAATTAATCGAGTAATCAGATAAAAAAAATTCTCTCTTATTAACGAGCAATAATAAATATTCAAAAGAGCAAAAAAAACGCAGGTCTTTCAGAGTGATCTGCTCTGGGTCCATTATAGAAACTGCATCCAGCTGCAAACATCTGTCAAAAAAGACCTTTTCAAATGTATTTAATTTTGCAATTAAGAAAATTATTTCTTCGAAATGTAAAATTTTAAAATGCACATAAATACATTTTAAAAGGTCCGAGAAAAAATCTGAAGCAGAATCAAAGGTCAAAGTCAAATAAAAGAATCTTAATGTAAGCATAAATAAACTGCCGTCTGTCTTCTGACATCACAGGATCTGACAGCGTTGGATCTACTGGACGACCCGGAGTTAGTGTGTGTCTATGTGTATGTGTGAATGTGTGTGTCTGCCTGTGTAAATGTGTGCGTTTGTAAGCCTTAGCATGTGTGGCAGCAGCAATAAAGAAAAGCAAGCAGTCTGAACTTTGGCCTGTGCTTTGATGCAAAGTGTCTGTGCTGCTGAAAACGTTATGATGGTGCAGATATTAAGAATGAATTTTAATACTAATTTAGTGTCCAAGATAACAGACCCAAAGTTTTACTGGCAACATTTTTAGTTTTGGATTTAAACTTTAGAATACTGAATGTAGGAGTTTAGAAAGAGCTGCAGTTGTTTACAGCCGTTTAATCCCAGTGTTCCTGGGTGAACTCACACTGGGATTCTGGTGCTTGTTCCACTGTATAGGAGGGCGACTGTGTTTTCAAGTGCAACCAAATGTACACAATGATCACTGTGTCACATTGTGTTAATATCATTAAATATCACGTCACCCCTAAAGCGACTGGAGGCTGACAGCGAGCACGGTGCATCAGGTTCTTACCTCCATGCTCAGAAAACTTGGGGTTACTCAGGATCTGTTTGCAGAACTTCAGACCATTCCTGTACTGCTTGTGTTCATAACACCTCTGTGAAAAAGGACAAAGCACATTATATCAGGTGCCTGACACTGCAGCGAGTCATCTTAAAGTCCACGAACAGTACATTACTGTAGGTCTGCAAAAGAAAACACTGTTCCAGTGACTCTGTCCTTCCTCCAGCCAGCAGGAAAAGCACCACATGCTCCTAAAGCAGCATCAACAAGTCTGCGAGGATCCCCACGGCCCAGTGACGTAAATGTCATCGGCGTGCAGTCAGCGCAAGGGTCTGTTATTGTGACCACGCAGACCTGCCTGCAGAACATTTACAGCAGTTTTTAAGACTTTATGCTTTCTCCATATATTTCAATTCAAACCGTCATTACAGCTTATTATTGATAATGCGTCTGATGCAGTGTAACGCCACAGCGAGGAGCTGTCAAACGGCAGCAGAGGGCATCAACATGCATGCGTGTTTTCGAGTCTCTTAACTATAACAGAAGAGGCTGACGTGTTTCGATGTGCCGGTTTTCACGTTGCTGTATTTAATAAACAGCTGCGCCTTCTTATCTATGCGACACTGTAAATGATCAGTAGAGCAGTGAGAGGAAGCTCCTCGTACTGGGCTGACCAGCTCCTGCAGCCGCTGGACTTAACTAGTCCAACAAGGTGCAACTGTTTTGGAAACAGACCCCAGACAAACGTGCTCATAGACGTCCGAGCCGAATACGTCCCCAAGGCCAGGCACCAGAACTACAACACGTGACTGGTTTCGCGGTGTTCCAGCTACTGCTTAATAAAACTGCCGACTTAATCGCAGTGTGTCTGGCGTAGCGAACACATCCCTAATTCACTGGCAGGTCTCTTGTAGATCTCGCAACTGAAGGCTACTTGGCAAACTACCATTAGCCAGCAAGCTAACGTGATCTCGGGTATTTTAACCTACCAGAATTCTTTTGAAGAGCGCGTTCTCTTTCGGCGGCAGGGTGACTGTGGGCATTGTAGTGGCTTCTTATGTCTCTTTCGGTTTAAACATGAATGATAATGTCCTGGCTGAGGTAGAGATACCAGGCTGTTTCGATCTTTTGAGACACCTCTCTTTCTCACGTGTTGACGCCAAGGCCCCCTTCCGAGCAAAATGGCCGACGCGCTTCTCCTCCGGGTCAGCCTGTTCTGTGAGCCTGCTCACAGGTCGGAGGTGGTCGGCGAACACGGGTTTGACTGGCACCTCACCGTGCATCAGATAACACCGCAATGAAACCACGTTATACGCAGTGATATTTCTTTCATTGTAGTGGTAAAGAGTAATTTCTGGATATTTAAATATAATAACTGACAAATTCATTCCTTAATTTTATTGTATAACGTAAAATTGGATTATGTCTGTATAAAGATACCAGTTTAACCATAATCAAATGTTTGTTTCCAGTAAAGGGGCAGGATGCTCCGGAGTGGTCGTTTGATTTATCGGTGATCTTGGTATCAGGTCTGACAGGAAGTTTAATCAACCGCGGTGCGAACGTGCGAGTCGAGAGGAAGGTGCTCTCTTCAGCGAAAATGACTTTCAACCGGTTGCTGTCCAGGGCTGTTTTCGTCAGCAGAGGTAAAATCACGAAAAGCTGTTAATTATCGTCGTTAAAAAATTTAAGGCTACGTGATTTGGCTCGTTATTTAAAACAGTGACTGTTTGTTTTGCAGGCTGACCTTAGCTTAGCTTAGCTTAGTTTAGCATTCTGGTAGCATGAATTGGTATTGGTTTTGGCTTTATAGCTAAGGGGTAAAATAAAACATCCAAACTAAAGACTGGTAAAGTATTAGCAACTGCTTTCAACCCAGATTTTCAGTGCATGTTTTGTTTTGTGTAAAGATTAAAAAACATCTAACAGGTCATCTACTAATCACGGTTGGTGGTTCGATCCTTGACTTGCCAAATGTCCCTAAGCAAGATAATAAGCCCAAGTTGTTCTCCAATGTATCCGTTAGTGTGGATGTGTGTAGATGTTAGACAGAGTTAATAAAAAGTGCTTGTATGAACAGGGAAGTAGAAAGGCCATTCCATTTACCGTTACTTGGACTGTATGAGTACTGGCTGCCCATACAAAGACCGTGTTTTTCATGTTGTTGTGGTTTCTCATTGTTCCAGCTGGCTGCAGGTCTGCTTTCACAAGCTCCAAGCCTGATATGACCAACCCCAACTGGTTCAGAGTGGGTCTTGCTTTTGGAACATCTGCTTTCCTATGGGGCTTGGTGAGTGCATCATTTCATATGTACACCAAGGTGCTGTTTTAGAAGTAGCTCCACTGTGAGTTGATGCAGAACTGAGGCTTTGGTCCTGAAAAAGCTGATTATGTAGTTCAATCAGGTCTGAGTGCATTCGCTGTGACTTGAGTTGTATTCAGAGTGCAGCATTTGTTTGCATAGGCTCTGTGGAGTTTAATGTTATGTGAATGCAACCTATACCAATGTCACGTAACTTAGTTTGTTGGAGAAAACGTGCTAGCCAGCACATTGGTTTCAGAGTGTGTTACCTTAGTATTTGTTTCAGAGTTTAAGTTGGCTCACTTGATAAAAAAAACTCAGAGTAGGGCAGGGAAATATGGCCAAAAATAGTTATCACGGTATATATTTTGAAATTTGCCATAACGATATAATTGACGATATAACTGACGCGAGACAAAGTACTTTAAAACTCCACAACTTTATTGGTGCAAAAAAAAACATCAATGTATTTTCACTGAAACAAGCAGCTGTTTTTTATGTGCATTAAAGCTATATAAACATTTAACAGTGCAAATGCAAATTCCTCGCTGACAGTTTAACCAAAAGGCGTTTCCAGTGGAAACTGGCCGACATATCCTCAGCATAACCATGTATAACATCCACAACACTTAAAAAGAGGTTTTAATAGCGACTTATTTTCCAAAAAACACGGTAATAACGATGATCCGCTAGCACGCTCTACCAGACATTGTGCTTTGGTGTGTATCTGACGGACGAAAGCTAAACCAGTTCCACACCACTGAACCATTTTTACAAACCAGTTCTGGTTCGTTTCATTCAACGATCCGCTTTCGCCTTTCTGATTCTCTGTCGCCGCCATGCTTTTTCCACCGTGTGCGTATGAAAATAAAGGCACCGTGCATGCGCGTTTTACCCATATTCTATCGCGATATTTCATTTTCTTATCGTTGCCCAACATTGTACCGGTGTTACAGTGAAAGGTATAAAATGGCCCAGCCCTAACTCAGAGTTCCCTTCATGTCAGGGTAAACCTGCATTCTAGACTGCCTCAGACTATATGTTGTCAGAGTTTCCCTTTTATTTGTTTCTGGTTGAATTCTGTTTAATGCATCAAACTGGAAGTTTACACTCTTGACTTGCCTTTAAATGCATGTATTCATGTCAGGCAGAATGATTACAGAGTGATTTTCTTGAGCCTGAATCCTGGCTGGGCTGTTACCTCACAGTATGAAGGTTCCCAGTTTGAACCACAGCTGTGACCCTCTGTGTCGAGTGTGCGTGTTCTCCCGGTGCCTACAGATACTCTCTCTCTGGGCACTCCGGCTTCTTTTGACAATCGAAGTCATGCAAACTATTATATAAGCTATAGAACAGCGGTCCCCAAATCCCCGGGCCTCGGACTGGTACCGGTCCGTGGTGCAAAAAAAAGTTGGGGACCGCTGCTACAGGCTAAAAGCGTGACAAAGATGGTGCTTAGTGTTGTCTCTATGCTTGTCTTAATTTTACACAGTAGAGGGCAGCAATGAGCAGCAAGATTTTTTAAATTTTTTATTGTTTTTACTGTAACGTGTGTTTTGTTCTGAAGCTCGGTCCATAGTGTGTCTGGCACCTGAATTTAAGTGGTTTTAAGGATTTTTTAAAAAATAGTTCCTTCAATGTGAGTCTTACAATCAGACATTTGACAGCCATTTCTTGTAGATCTGCGGAACAATACAGGAGTTAAGATTATGATGTGACGTATTTTAAATAGGGAATTGACAAACGCACACGTAAGTGACTTGTGGCTTCTCGGCCTTCCATTTGCAGCTCTTCAAACAGCACAGCACAGACACTCATGAGTACAAAGTGAGGAATGGCCTGGAATAACCTACAAAACTCACAGGTGAGCGCCTCTAAATACTGAAATTGAAGTGGACACTACAAGTATTAAAGCTAATTTACACGATAGCGCCCTTCACAAACAACTGATAGATTTAACACTGCCTGTAAAGATGCATTTAAGAAGTAGGTTTCTAAAGTTTTTGGAACATATTTAGTGCCATCAGGTGCAGCTGACTCAAACAAGCTCTCCTCCTCACTGCCCTCGTTCATAAAGTGCTCTATAAACCGTAGCCTAGCTAGCCAACAATGTAAACTGACTTACTGCTTAAGAGACAGAAGAGTGACAGTGGACAGTATGCTAAACCCTTGTCGTTTTTTCTTTATTGCTTGGGGCAATTCAAAAGACTCTCTTAAACTGCTTTTAATGTTCCGGTCTCGTTGCTTTCCACTGCATTGCTGGTCCTGTCTGTTACCAGCACTGGCACGAGATGGCTGTAAACATGTTCTTAAATCCAACTTCACAAACAGGGCTCCATGGTGTAAATTAGGCTTTATACATGTAATGTTTCAGTTTAAATATGAATCACTGATCAGTTATACATCTTACTATTATTATTGGTGCTGTGTAGTGGTGCAACGGATCACGGTTGATCCGTAATCCAAACCGATCCCACTCCACGGTTCGGCACGCACGTGATCCAAAGATTCGAAAAAAAGTATGTGTATGTTGGCGTGGTGGGTCTGTCAAGCCATAGCTATGGTCAGCGCTGGCGGTCCAAGTGGAGGAGCAGAGGAGTTTGTGGCATTTAAGCAGCCCTTTGCTGCCCAATCCGACCGAGCTAAAGCTATTACAGAAGCTACTGCGGTGTTTAGCTGCAGACGGGAGGCCGTATTCTGTTGTGCAAAACAAGGTGTTTAAACTGTGATGGACGTGCTTGAGCCACGCTATGATATGCTGTTGTGCGTCCACTTTAGTGGCAAGATTGTTCCGAGCATGTATGAGCAGGAAAAGTTTAAAGTTATGGCTGAGCTGTCCCAGGCATCTTCTGTTGCCCAACTACAAACGGGTGGAGCTCCAGGGCAACGGAAAGCTACGTGACCGTGACCGCTCGTTATATCACAGCGATGTAATGAGCGGTGTGTATTATTGTAGGGTCTGCCTTACAATATAAAGCGCCTTGAGGCGACTGTTGTTGTGATTTGGAGCTTTATAAATAAAATTGAATTGAGTGGTAGATACAAAGCCCTATACTGCACTATATTGAACCATAATGTTTTTTAATAATTGTGTGGAATGAGTGTTGAGTTGAATGTTTTTAACAGGCAAAAAAAACTTCAACAAGTAAATAATTAAATGTTCAATTTTTGTCTTTTTTTGCCGATCCGAACCGTGAGGCTTTTGATCCGTTGCACCACTAGTGTTGTGCAGTGTGATGATATATCTAATTGTCTCTTTTCCTGTCCAGGAGGTTGTTGGTGTTGGTCTGCTTCTTTCTGGTTTGTCTCGTCCCCATTTCTCAACGTGGATTACGTGTAAATAAAAACATTTATCATGTGAACGTACTTGACTCGCAGTCATTTTGTACATGTTGAGTTTGTTTAGATGCTACTCCCAGCAGCACTCTCATACAGTGTAGTTTTGTTTTGGTTTTGAACGTCTGCCTGAGCTGCATTCGTTCTTAGAAAAACACTGAACACAATGAAGCTTAGAAAGTAAAAGGTTTGAAGGAATTTAGCCAACATAACGGTGTTAAGACGACATTTTATTCACTTCTTGAATTCAAACCTAAAAACAAACATGGGATTGTTTCAGTGTAAAGTTTGAAGGGAAACAAAAATGTCCCTGCAGCAGTTTAGTAGGTTGTCTGAGCTCATGTCCTAAAGCAGGGGCGTCCAACGCCAGCCCTCGAGAGCTACTGCCCCCAGCTTTTAGATGCATCCTTACTCCAACACAGCTGAATCAAATGTTTGGATTACCTCTTCAGCATGCCGTCAAGTTTGGCAAAGGCCTGGTAACAAGCCAATCATGTGGTTCAGGTGTGTCGGAACAAGGATGCATCTAAAAGCTGGGGGACGGTAGCTCCCGAGGGCTGGAGTTGGTTTATCGGTGAGTAGAGTACAATAGTTTAAACTGATCTCTGATTTATTTTATTTTTTTGAACTGGTGAAAGTAGTTCCATTGTGTAAAATAACATACTTCACTAGTTGGAAGCGATCTGTACTAAGCCATGCTAGCAACCATGGTTCATTTTTTTCTTTCCATAGTTATGTTGTTATGTATTTGTTTTTTATTACCGTGTGGTGGGGGCGTGGTCTGCGGTGCCGCTGCTGGGGAGCTGAGCTTTCTCCCCTTCCACCAGCAGCTCACCCACCTCAGCCTGGGCCGGAGGTCAGCGAGTGGGAGGGACCTGCCATGCCGTCACTGGAGGTCGGGTCCTGCCAAGCCTGAGGAGAACTGATGGATCGATAGGCAGTGATGTCATACCTGTTGATGGCTGCAAAGGTGGCCCAACCAGTTATTAGGTTTAGGGGACAATCACTCTTTCACACAGGGCCACGTCGGTTTACATCTTTTTCCCCTTAATAATAAATACCTTCATTTAGAAAGTGCATTTTGTGCTTACTCGTGTTATCTTTGTCTAACATTTAAGTTTGTTTGATCTGAAAATTATGACGACCTGGGGTAGAAAGACACTGAAGTCTAACCCAACACTAATGTGTACCAGTTACCATAACTTGTGTTTCACTGAGGGTTAATTGTGCTCAATACTGGCATGTTGAATATAAATAACAAACATGTTTCAGTTAACCAGTATAATGAATCAGAAAATAGAATAATAGTGATTCTAATAACATGATGAGGCTATAGAAAGACAGAGGAGGTGTGGGTGGACATCAGACAGCAACGTGACTGAATGACCAAAGTGTGAAGATGTGACATCAGTGAAAGACGGGTTTCTGGGTTCTTCCCACTTGTATAGATATCTATTGTTTAGTTGATTGAATTATGTTTTTTAATTAGTTTGAGTATTACTATTTGGTTTGATTTTGCTTTGCAGCGCTCCTGCTAAATTGCTTTGAAAACATTTCTTGCAATTAAAGTCGAAATTGTGGACACTAACTTTTTACCCTTTTGTGAAACAGTAAAAGTCTGAGTGTTATTCTTTATTAGTGCAAAGAGCTCTTACAGGCTACCCTGGCCATTATACATTAATCTTTCCTGCGAGCCTGCCAATCAACAGGGAGCTACCATTAACAGGTGGGACTGATAAGGTTTGACCTACAAGGCTACTCAGGTTTCTCCTTATCCAGGACAGACACCTGGACAGTTTCACGGTAGTTGGGACTGGGCGAGTCCCCTCATCCACATCGACTCCAGCTGAACTCTGAATGGGAAAGAGCCAAAACAGATTTCTTGTATTGGAGTTGTGGGCCCTGCAAATCGACATCCAGGGTGTTACTTCCACTACAGACGCCTCGGAAAGAAAAATGCATTTTTTTCTACTGTGTTTGCAAAGATGTTTCATTATACTGAGCAAACAGCTGCTCAGTGGTAGCAGAAGAAAACAACTTTATTACAAATATTTTAATCAGCATCATTTTCATGGTTACCTGAAGATAACTTGAACATCTACGCCCATTTGCATGAACTGAAGATAGCAGCCTTTACCGCGAGATCTTTAATCTGGTCAAAACAAAACAACATACTCAAATTGATAAATCTGCATATGCAACATGTGGAAAGCAGAGAGTAAAATATTTAAGCAAATCTAACCAGTTGACGTAAAAAAAAAAATAAAAAAAAGAGTTAACCTGGAACATTTTTGATGAACTGAGAGTTTTTCTGGTGATTTGTGAAATATGTGTGTCAATTAAATATTACAGTGATATTAAAACGTGGTCTGTAAATGTTTTGTTTGTGATCTCTTCCTGTCCAAAGGGAGTTTTTCCTTCCCACTGTCGCCAAAGTGCTGCTCACAGGGGGTCATATGATTGTTGGGTTTTTCTCTGCATGTATTATTGTAGGGTCTACTGTACAATATAAAGCACCTTGAGGTGACTGTTGTTGTGATTTGGTGCTGTGTAAATAAAACTGAATTGAAAAATTGAATTTTGGCTGACTACAAATATTTGTGTTACATTAAACCAGACGACGATACAATTATTCACTCGAATTGGGAGAGGCAAGTAAGTTTTACTTCACTACATGCACTCTGTGCAATGCTAGTTTTAATTATATAAATACCCCCAAAATGTAACTGTTTCCTTAAAACGGTTCATATGCTGACTAATCTTCTGACTGTTCTTGGCCACAAAACACTTGAAACCATCAATAACGATCACAACATGAATAAATGTAGGTTCGAGCAGAAACAATAATTTCAGTTTCCACAGCAGAAGTTTTCTGCATAAATCAAGGACAATTTATTTACTGAGAAAAGTTTACACATACTGCTAATTATGTGGGCAAAATATACATGTGCATAGTCAATATTTAAAAAAACAAAGTGAAAGGTTATTTGCAGCCTTTTACAAAGACTGTCTTTTCCAAAATATCATTTAAGACTGGATCATATTTGAAAGGATCTGTTGTTTACCATGAAACAGAGACAAATATTTCTCCTCTAAATTCCTGAATTATTAGTTGAGCTTATTGTTCGTTGAAGAGACACAAATCAACCTTTTGCCACGGGACTAGCATTCTTACAAAAATATGTCTGACAACTGGCATTTCTTCACAACAAAACAGTAAAGAAAAGACTGAATATGAAACTTATATCTCACTTGTGGCGATTCTCCAACAGATCACTTTAGGCCAGATATTACAGCAAGAAAGGGTTTAGTCTCTGCTCACAAGACGGAAATATCACAGGAAAAAACTGTCCAGGACAGTGTGGGTAAGAAAACCTGTGATATGGAAAGGCAGTGTCCTATCCACAAAAAGCCACATCCCCTCAACCACTGTGGGGCGTCACAATAAATCTATTAAGGAGTGTTCCTTAAGCACAGCAGTATTTGTTTTTAAGTTCTGTGTGAGCGGCCATTGTGTTTCCATCTCCTCCTGTGTTTTCCCATGCAGTTCCACCCCTGGGCAGGACCTTGGACACTCTTACTGACCTATTTCTCATTAAGTGACAATCAGCATGGCTGCATTTAAGACCGGCACGGTCATCTCTTCTTCACTGGTCCAACAGCTATCCGCGCTGGATCTCATCTCAGGTTGGAAAAAACTCTGAACCCATCCACAGCGCCACCATCTTCACAAAACTGGACCTGTGTAACCCCCACCATTCCACATCAGAGGGGGGCGGTGAATGGAAAACAGCCTTTAATATACCATTGGGTCATCCCATTCATAAATGCACCAGCAGTTTTTCAGGCACTAGTGAATGACATTCTCAGAGACTTCCTAAACCTTTTCGTGTTTGTCCAAGGATCTCCAAGAGCCTCAAATCCATGTTCACACTGTGCTTGAGTGGCTACTGGAAAATCATCTGTATGTAAAAACAGAGAAGTGCGGGTTCCATTCACCATCCGTCACTTTTCTATATTCTGGCAGGGGGACAGGTGAAGACAGACCCTGTCAAAATCCGAGCAGTCGCTGAACGTCCCACTCCTTTCACGCGCAGCCACCTTCAACATTGAATTCTGACTTGTAAATAATGGAATTTGAAATAAAGAGGTAGGAACAGAAAAAGTGTAAACTTCATCCTACTCAGAATCAGAATTGAATCAGTTGTAAAAGTCAGTGACGATATGATATCCATCCCTAGTTTACAGATCCACTGGTACGTATCCATATATAACAGCAGGGCTGCTGAACATCAAATGGCCAGCAGGTGTCAGCACTTGAGCTGTTAAACGGCGCTTCGTGTGCGCTGCCTTTGGTGAAGCAAAGCTCCCGGGGCCTTATCACACCATCACTACCTGGTTGTATACTCATTCTACTCTCTTCTCTCATTCTTCTTTTGCACACCACTTAATTTTAAATGCGGCTGCACTGACGAACTACTCTATAAGACACTCTTAAAAACAAATTGTTATTGCTATACAAATCATCACAAATTATCCACAAACGACATAGAGCAAGATCCGGAAGCACAAGTAAATATTTCCCTCCATACCACAAACATGAACTATGAAAAATGTCTGAATATAAGAACCCTTTCTGTTGACTTTCAAGTGTCTTTTATTTATGTAAAACGGAAATCGACCAAAAGTGCTTTAAAGACAGACACATTTACGTTCCAGATTCCAAAAAACTTGGTTTTGGTGTGTTTTATTGTGTTGACTAATTATTTTGGGAAGTAATAAACACATTTATTTAGTTGGTATTAAAATATATTCAGAATTTGCTAATTAATGTTTTGTTTTGTTTTTTATCTTAAATGATGACACACTGCTCTGCCCTGTATAAGCTCCCTTTATAAGTTTAAGGTATTGGCAATACTGGTCCTCCATCACGATTTTAAAAAAATCTCACACGCTGCTTTTTAGTGTTTTTTGTTTGTTTGCGGGTTTTTTTTTTTTTCAAGGAAGAACGTCGACTTGACGTCACGGCGTACCGTGCCCTGACCTGGCTCGGTTGTGGCGAAGAGGCGGCGCGCCGGAAAGCTACAGGATAGCACGAAGGAAACACAACTTTGGGGTTTGTGTTCAAGAAAAACATTTATAGGCGTCTGCGAAGCGATTTCCGAGTAACGAAGACCCGCTGCAAACATATTTTTATGCAAGCGAAGTAAGCGTTTTGGCCTTGGTTAACTTAGCAAACATTGGGCCCAGCTAGCGCTAGCCGTGGAACTGACTTTTCATCAGCAAAAGCAAAACAAGGTAAGGAGAGAAAACTCGAGGCATTAACATGTCAACAGATTCTGCTACCGACCAGTGCACACTGCACATGTCATATTTGTTATAGAATTTACCTAGCGCGGGTATAAAATGTATAATAAAAACGATGTTCATGTTGGCTAGCTATCTGCTAAATGGACTGGTTCTTATATAGCGCTAACTGCTCAACAACTCCCCTTAATGCTAGCTTCTGCTAAACAGTCGTGATAACGCAATAAGAAAACGTTTTTACACACAAATAATGCCGCGTGGACAAAGTTACGAGCAACATTAAGTAAGATGGATGAGTCTTTATTGGAAACAGCAGAAGCATTAGCTAACAGGTTAGCTGTAGAGGTTGAAGCTTTAAGACTCGGTGACAAATAGCGGCGCCAACCTACTCAGGAAGTAAACATCAGCCTGCGTGCTGTGAACGGTCATTGTCTGATCTCCTCACACCAGCCGGTCGTGTCAGACCTGACGGACACAGCTACTACTCTGGACTGCTACTGTTGTGAAGTGCTCATATTGGAAGTTAGCCCACAGCACCGACTCGTTTATCCTGTCCTCGGAGCTGTGTGTGTTCGGGATCTTGGCTGTGTAAACAGTGCACAGGCAGAAAAAAACTCCAAATGTCAAAAGTTGCGTTTAAAAGTAAAATAAAGTTGAAACTCGAATTTCTGCTAAACATTTAAGCTTCTCATACAAACTGAGCAACTTAAAGGTTTTGACTTTATAGAGCTGTAGTGCTCAGGCTAAGTTAGGTTGCTACTGTCTGCTACTCACAACCATAAACATTACTAATTTATCAGTTTGAATGTTAAATAAATATCAGGCAGATGAATCCATCCACAATTAATAAGTCAGTTATAAGCTGTATAATTGAAGCACGGTCTGAGACTAAGTCAACAGCTCATCTGCATATGTTATTACAGCTCTTACTTCTGGAGCCTTACTGCAGATTTCTCGCTGTGTAAAACAAACCGCGGTGGCTGGAACAGCTGCAAAGTTCGCTTTTCTTTTCTTCATGTCGGAGTTTGTTGATCGGAAGCTTTGATGAAGGACTCCCGCTCGCTTTTCCCAGTAAAAGTTTTAATGGTGATCACAGGAACAGCGCTGCTGTTTTCTGTCACTCTACCCGAGCTCAGCGTGTCGGTAGCGGCTCCGCCTCTTTGCTCTCCGCGGTGTGTAAACAGACTCCACGTTAAACTATGCCAGCGTCATCATCACTGCTGCTGTTCTGTTATCAGTGTTTCTGTTGTGAAACGTTTTATTCACACGCTGCTCATGAATGCTTTTGTACTGCAGGTGTGCTTTTAGTCGCAGATGTGGGTGAAACGCTGGCGTTCATGTTGACATTGAAGCGCTACAGAGCTGTGCCTTAAACGAAGCATCCAAGCAAAGAATTTGTCCAGAAATCATTTTTATGATCGAATAATCCCAGATACTCTGAACTGTTGCAGCCCTGAAAATCACCAAAATTCAGTTTAATGAAAGAGATTTCATCCTTTATAACCACAATGTTAAAAGGAGAGCTGTGGTCAGCGTGGGCTTCTTATGATCCCAACCCTGTACAGATGCAAACACTTAGGATGGGGGAAAAACATCAGTACAGTATCTTATCGTGATATCTTGTATGCTGATATTGTATTGACACCAAATATGATATATTATTAAGTGAACTCTGGGAATACTCTGAACGAGAGGGCTCATCTCATCTGATAGGAGGCAACCTTTTTTTAAACAGTCACAGTTTGACTTGGACTGACTGCAGTCACTCAGAGAGATTGTTGAAAGCTTGCAAATAACGTCTGTGTGAGTTATAAATACAGACAGATTGCCAACATGTTGTCATCAGTCTCAATGAGTCTTTAATAATAAGGACAAGTCGTGGGGACACGGCTCATCTGGCTGCCAGCTGTTAGTATTCTGGGTATAATCCTATAAAACAAGAAGGTTGCCAACAACAAATGTAATAGTTAAATGTGAGTTTCTGTGTATGTGGGCACCAACCCATGATTTTCACTGATTCCCCCCTGTTATTGCTGTACTACCAGGAAAAGATTGTGTGTAGTGGCCAAACTAAAATCCTATAATTGCAGAAGAACTCCATCCTTTATGGCAGGTTTCAGTGACAGTGGTCATTATGCTTAACAATGTCATTTTGCAGCAAAAAAAACAAATAGCCTTATCTTATTCAGTAAAATAGATATTGATAAAGTTTAACTTTGCATTTCAAAAAGTTGATAAGTCGCAATATGTAATTGCAAAGTTACAAAATAAAAAAAAATCTCAATTGTATCATGAAGTATTGCAATAATTTGTTTTTGTTTTTGCAGGAATGAGTGATGACCTCTGTGGTGGTGTCAGATGGTGGTGGGAACATAGTGGAGTATGTGACTGTGGTGGAGGACCCCCAACAGGTAAATGCTTGTATCAACATTGTGGCCATATTTGTTATTTTTGAATGTGTGTTTTATAATGTAATTATGTTTGTGTTTGACCTCCACACTCTGCTGACAGTCGACGAGTTAGAGCACTGTGATTTGATGCAGTAGGAGTGTTCAGCCCATTATCTCCTTTGTTATGAGCTTTATCAGTCAGTGTGTTTTAGCCGGCAAATTCAAAGTATGAAGTTGGCCTCTACAACTGTATTTCGGCTTACCTCCGGGGATTTCTGGTCCTCCTGTGTCAGATGGCTCAGATGGGGTGCCACGCTATCAGAACAGCCAACCTTGCTCCGGCGCTGTACATCCTTCTGGCCAGATGATCTGATTGGCTGCTGGCTTGGCTTTGCATTGTGATTCTGTTTGCCAAACCTCTGACTTCCTTATTTAGTTTTCCCTTTGTGGATTAATTCGGAAAACCCAAAGTGGAGTATTTTACATTCAATTAACTAAACTAGGATGGATTACCAAAACAGAGTGACTAAACTGAGTTAACTGGCATGGGACTGAGCTGGCCAGAACTTTTGTTCCTATTTGGGGTTGTTAATATATTGTTTCCCTTATGAACCGGTTTTTGTTTTTCTATCCCACGGTCTGTTAGAAAAACTCAGATCATGTGACTCAGTAACACATGACACCTTTATCGTTTCATGCATAATTTGTTTGAGCTTAGTGATTAACTTGATTTCCAGAAATAGTTCAAATCACTACAACAGTGCAGTGAATTCAGCACTGAACTGCAAGTAAAATAGAACCTCAGCTGTGTTTGAGCGTCTTCAGCTAATAACTACACATTTCCAAAATGACACCACTTAACAGCATGGTTGGTAATGCTAACAGCCAAGTAGCATAACATTGTGTTAACAGCTGGGAGGGAACTATGCTGCATTCAAGAAGAGTAAAGAAATATCGAGGAGAAAAAAGCGAGACTGGATATGCATCAGAAGTAACATTTAGCCAAAAGGAGAGCTCAGTCTGCTGTTCGAAAGGTTCAGGTTTTCGTGTCTCTTGAGGCTGTTATGTCCTTCATGAAATCCAAATAAAGCTTGTTTGAAAGCTGTAGAAACATTAACACACTCCATGAAAAGGAAATGACATAAAACTGAAAATCAGAACAGCCAGCCTGCTAAAGATGGACTCCAAACACTGTTTGAAAAATATGCTTTGCTAACAGGAGACGATTTATTGTTTTGGTTATGTGGATTTATTCTGTTTATGTTCTCTTCATTTTTATGGTGCTAAGAAAATCTGTTCTATATTATGGCTGCAACGATTCATCGAGTATTTTGAATATTAAAAAAACCTCAAATTCTTCGCTTCGATGCTTCTTTAACGCACAGCTCTGTAGCGCGCCGCTGTCTCCATGGAAACGTGAGCCACATTTGCAACTAAAACAGACGTGCAATGCAAACGTATTTAGGAGCAGCGTATGAATCAAAACCCTCCAGGTTTAAACAAAAACAGCAGTGATGATGAGGTTGGTGCAGTTTAATGTGGAGCCAGAGTCTGTGCACATGTCACGAAGAGAGAAGTGAACTGATACAGTCTGTGTCTCAGGCGTCATACATTCAGGCTTCAGTTGCAATAAAGTCTCTAAAAGCAGTAAAAACAGTCTTTTTTCATCTGTCAAACTGTGTCTACTGTGAGCAGCAGCCTGCTGAGGAGGAGGAGGAGGAAGAAGTGGTTCAGCAGGAAGTGGATGCAGTGATCATGGAGGAAGAGGTGGAAGAGGAGGAGGGGGTGGTGCTGCAGGAGGAAGGCTGTCCTGCAGTAATTGTAGAGGAGGTGCCCAGCGCTCAGGTGGAGGAGTGCTACTCTGCTCAGGTGTTGGTCTACGATGATGAGACGTACCTGATGCAGGATGTGGCTGAGGAGCAGGAGGTGGTCACAGAGGTGACGGAGACTGGTGAGTCCTGAGTGATGGCTTCTCTAGAAAAATGTCGTGTTTTTCTGTGTGTGAAATCTGTACATGATTGAAGTAGGAGGTTAAAAGAAGCTTAATCCATTATTTCTAAATTCTTTTTAGACTTCATTTATTTACTTATGTATTTATTATTTATTTGATATTAAATAGAACTGAAGCTCAGCTAACTGAAACCTGCACGTTTTCTGGCCTTGGTAAGAGATCAGAGGCCTGTACTGTGAAGCAGGATTTAGTCTTATCCAGGTGGCAAACTGGGTTTTCTGTACCACGGAAGTGGTTCACTTCTTCCAAAAGTAAATCACTATCTTGCTCTGGAGGAAATCAGGTTTGTTTGTGTTTTACTTTTTGTCTTTTTGTTGGCTGCAAAAAACCAAATCTATGAGCTTTAACGTGGTTCAGGTAACCCTGAATTCCCCTCAGTTATCCTTCCTTTGATACACTGTGATGCACTGAGCGTTTCTCTACTCAGTACATCTGTCTTCCTCCCCATCCAGTCATGGCAGGTGGTTGCCCCACAGTGAATCTGGCTCTGCTGGAGCTTTCTTCCTGTTTAATGGGACATTTTCCC